GAAAGTCTTTATACTTTAGTAAATCTTTTTTTTTGTGTTGCCTTGCTGACATTCCTTAAAGATATTTCTTATTGGACTTTTCTTTGATTCATGGGTTCTCATTCACTTTTCAATTCCGACTTTAGTCATTTGCGTTTTTGAAGTGATTGCTTGCATCTGTACTTATTAATGCCTGAATGGGGTGTTTGTATCTGCATTATTCATGGCTGGCGTGCCACTAAGCAACCTGGCATGGAGATAGAAATAAAGTAAAAAACACGCTGCCGTTTTGGGTCATGATGACGTCCACTTGGAAGCCGCGTGCCGGCTTCAATCCACTGGATGCAATTCGAACTCATTTGAATGCAATGTGCACTTGGCCATGCAACGCCGACGTGAAAGAGAGTGCACTTCGGAAAAAGAGGGAGAGAGCGGCACAATCGCGCCAAAATGGCACATGGCAAAAAACTTTTGGGCTGATGACTAAGCCAAGAGAAGCAGCGAAACAGCGTTAAAGAGACCCATGAGATACTTTGAGACTTGAAGCTAAGAGTATCTTGGAATGAAGAGAAAACAATGCGAAAGCTTTCTTTTCTCTTTTACTCTGTGGTGGAATTGAAAACTTAAATTTATTTAAGAGTAATGACAAGGAAAAGCCGTTAAAAAAGCTCTTATCAATAATTCAGATACTTTTGGATATTTAAGGGATATCATAGGTTTTCAGTGAATGACAAGAGAATTAATTTAACAGTTTTGAAATTTTAGGTTTTGAAAGAAACCTAGGAAGCAGCTCTAATTTTGTAGCATAGACTCCTCGTGTTTAGATTTTATAAAGTAGAAGATAATTCATTTTTAATATTATATTTAAGATTTTTTTTAACGTACATACATACATATAAGCCATGATATGGGTATTACCTTAATTTAGGCCTATAATAGTATGAACAAATTAAGAAGTCTCGAAATCACAAACAAAATAAAATGTATAGGGTTAACGTATCATATTTCAGGTATATAAGTATTATACTTAAGAATTTTTTTAATCCATAAAAGGGCATTATCATTGCAATCGGCCAAAACTCATCAGATGTAAAACCAATTAGTTGGTAACGGAAAATACCGCCCTTATCGCCAGATTTGTTTGGCCAGGACAGCCTTGAACTCGATCAGATTCCGTTCGAAGATAAGTATCCTCAGATAACCCCACACACCGCAATTAAATGCCACTGATACCCTTTATCGCATCTTATGCTATCAGGTTTCACCGGAATATACAATGTATTTGGGGAGATACGATTTCTTTTGTTTCTCCTACAGCAACTGTACTGCGTTTCGTGGGGCGTTCGCCTTCTCGATGGCAATGTCGATGGCCCACCCCCTCAGAAACCCATCGCGTTCTCCGATAGCGGCGGCAATCGACGACCTTGACCGTGAAATTTAAATTTAGAAGCTACGGCGGCGGCTAAGACGTAAAAAATAAAATACCGCCGAGCTTTTCGAAGCTATCTTCGCCAGTGTGTTAGTCATTGTGTGTTCTGGTAATTGCAAAAAAAAGTGCGCTCTATAACAGGTATTTCCTTTCGGCCCCTGGCACTCCCCATTAATAAAATTCGGAAAACAAAATTTGGCCATTTCACGAGTCCGCCGCATGTGACTTATGTAAATATTCAACTGAGGCGGATGGCTATTTTTAAAAGCTATTTAATTGAAACATGAACTTGCGTACTGGCGCCGTCTCGACTTGGTCAATGATGTAAATCCGTCTAATTATGTGAAATTGAGTGCAGCGCTAATCGGCGCAGGGCGCATTTAGCTAACAGAAGGCTAAAAATAATTCCTTTATTTTTAATTAGCTGTTTGTTGGATGAGTTTGAATGTGCCGCCAAGAAAAAGTGTTGGTTAACGAGTGTGTACGGCTGTATTTGGTATTTTTAATACTAAGCTTTGGGGCAATTCAAATTTAATTTAAAATTCGTTAAAAAACTAACCATTTAAGACAGTTTATAGAAAATAATAAAAGCTAAAAGTAATAATTATATTTTTTATTACTAAATATTACCTTTAATCATGTTATGTGGGGCAAGCAAAGCACTATCTTTTTGAATTTCCCGCCAAGACTATCGATTTTCCGTATCAGCTGATGATGCATAGAAAGTTCAAGAACTCTCATCTCTAATAAACAATTTGTGCGACATAAAATTTCTAGAACACGCTAAGAACTACTGTTAAACAGTTAAATTAAACTTATATCAATACAAAAATAACAATTAAAGCACCGCCTAAGTATAGTTTTTCTTATAAAGGTAAAACTTTGCTAGAAGTAGAGCCGGCTTTCTTAACACGTGGAGCACGTGGATCACAGATAATTGTTTATCCCATATAATTAAACAATTTCATCACAAAATATTGTAATAATGGTGTCTGAGGTATTCAGTGAATACTATATTTGCAATTTCAACGATGCGGTGGCTGTAGAAGGTACACTATTAACGAAAACAATAGATAGCAAACGTATAACACCGATTATAATGGCTTCCCCTTAGATCTGCCAGCCGATGAGCAACTGCGTCAACTATGGACCCGCCAGAAACTGTGGACAGTGGAGGAGCTCCGCGAGATACTTCAACGATGGCGAGAAAAGGGCAAAGCCGTTTTAAAGGATGACCCCGCTTCGCAACTTAAGGATTTCCTGCTTCTGGTCTTTGCTTTTGTTCAAAACAATTTCACTGGACCCTTTGACAAGCTTGAAGAGTTCCAGCAAATCCATAGTCAACTTAACCTGGAGGAACTGGATGCACAGGAGAAACTTAAGGCTAGCGGCGAGGAGCTGAATCCGAATGTTAAGACTGGAGAACTATTACTTGTGGCCAGGGAAATACTCCAGGGATTGTTAGAAAACTACCCAGAATCCAAGGTTGGTGTGATTAGTTGTGTTTAACTTATATTTATTAACAACCCATAAACACAGGTGCTGACTTGGTGGCACTTGCGACTGATCTGCCTGCACCAGCATATCCTGGACGATCTGGCGGCCTCACTTTATGAACAGTTCAAGGCAGCAGCTGGTCGTCTTCAGGCACAAATTAACCAGTTTGAGAGCAGAGAACTGCAGTCCCTGCTGCTACTCGAGTTGGCTAATGGTTACCTGCAGTTTCACCGGTCGGAAATAGCCTCCCAATTGCTCGATGAACTATGTAACCATCTCCAGGTGGAGCTGAAGGTTGAGGGTTTGCTGGGAGTACGCACCAAGTTCCAGCAAAAGGCTCTCCCGCAGCTCTGCCTCAAAGTGGAGCACCTAAAGGAGCAGCAAACCCTGCCTGCAGCCATTCTTACAAATGAGAAGACCAAGCTGCCCAAGCTGCTTCTTCTGGAGGATGACACGCGACTGGAGCGAATACGCTTTGTGGAACTCAAGGACAATGAAGTGATGACGTTGCCCAGCGTGTTGCAAGCTCTGGTCTTGGCCAAGGTGTGAGTATGGGCAAGGATCAGTGGATTGTACTTATATTGTCTTCGTTTGTTACAGAAAACAATTAAAACGTTCGCAGCCCAAAGACCGCCTTGCGGATGAGCAACTGGAGCCGTATACACAAACCCTGATCTACCAGGAGCACGGGCCTTTCCAAGTGCGCCAGGCAGCCCTTCTCCTGAACTGCCTGCAGGAATCGGGACAGCGGAGAACCGTCGAACGCAGCTGGAAACAGTGCGAGGAGTGCGTCAAGCTGCTGGACAGCTCAGAGGAGGAGCTATCGCTTCGGTCGCGACTCTCCTATGGCTTTGCTGCCCACCTTCTTCCCAAATGGCAGGTGCAGTTGCAGCTTGTAGACCTACTGCGATCTCTGGGCATGACCAAGACCGCTCTGGACATCTGCCTTCGCATACACGCCTGGCAGCAGGTTATCGAGTGCTACACCAGTCTGGAACTTCGCCACAAGGCGGCGGAGATAATCCGCCAGGAGCTGGAGAAGAAACCTACGGCTTTGCTTTATTGTCTTCTTGGTGACGCCATCGATGAGCCCAAGTTCTACGAGGAGGCATGGCTGCATTCCAAGAAAACGAGTGGCAAAGCGCAAGCCTATTGGGGGAACTACTTTTACCGGAGTGCAGATTACACCCAGGCTATGGAGCACTTTGAGATCTCACTCGAGATAAACAACTTGCAGGAGGCGATCCTCTTGCGCTGTGGATACTGCGCCATCCAATTGGAGCGCTGGGAGGCGGCTGTTAAACATTACCTGGCTTACACTCATCTGGAACCCAATGGCTTTGAATCCTGGAACAACTTGGCCAAGGCTTTGATAAATTTGGGTGACAAACAGCGGGCTCATCGCGTTTTGGGTGAAGCCCTGAAGTGCAACTACAGCAACTGGAAGGTTTGGGAAAACTACATGCTGGTGTCCGTGGATACTTCCCACTGGGATGATGCCATGCGAGCGTACCAACGGATGGCGGAGCTTAAGCAGCACTACCTCGATCAGGAGGTGCTCACCCGGATAGTCTACGGCATTTCCAAGGAGGATCCTGCCGGCTCAGGTACTCTAATCAAGAGACTCATAAAGCTGCTGGGACAACAGAGCATCCAGCACGGAAATGAGCCCCTTGTTTGGGAACTGGCCGCCTTGGTGGCTCCAACACCACTGAAAAAGGCAGAGAAACTGGTAAAATCATATCGTGCGTATACACCTAAGCATTTGGGCTGGGAAACCAAGTCCGAGCATGCCTTAAAAGCTCTGGACCTTTGCTTGGAGGTTTGCGAACTCTCAAAGGCAGCCATCAAAGAGCACATCCAGGATGAGAGTGAGGTGATGATAACCTCCCAGCTAAATTCCGCCAGACTGGCGGGCACGTCTTGTTTGAATGCCCTGAAAAGGGCCATCAATGTGGAAGTGCCAGCAGAACAGACGGAGAAGGTGGAGCAGCTGGAAGAGAGAATCGAAGATCTGACAAAAATAGTCCACGAGCGAATGAACGTACCTAGATCATAGTTTTTCTTGACCTTGTTACCAACAAAGGAAGAGCTGTTTTATTTGATAAAGGACATTTATTGTGTTCATTTTGAAGTCTACCTATATTTGTATGTGCTAGTTTTGATTTGTAATTTAATTCAGGTCAAGCTGTTTATGTGAATAAATAGCGTTGAAGCATTGAGGACATTCTGTTGGAGTTTATACATTCGCAAAGGATGCAATAAAATTCTCTATGATATTCATAAAAATATAAACCTAAGCTTTTACCCATGATCCCATATCACATGTATGAGGCGTTTCTTGGTTTCTTCTTTTAGATTTTCAGTTAATAAGTGTTCAATTTGGTGGTGATCAAAACGCGAACACTCTGATCAAAGGCTCCACAGACGGCCAGGCCCAGTTTATCCGGATGCCAGTCGAAGCAGTGAACCGGTTGACTGCTCAAAGTAGCTGCACTGACCATGTTCAGCGCTCCGGCCACTCCCAGCTTGTTTCCATCCGAATCATCAACGACCCTCCTGTCGGGATACTCGTACTTCCACAGGCGGATCGAGCCAGTTCCGCCGCCCGTGAGAAAGATATCCCTGTTTTGGGGCAAATGACGCACAATCCACACAGTGGCTTTTGGTCCGCTGATCACGCCATTTGTGCCTACGCTCCGTCCAGCGTTGCGCTCCTCCACATAGCTAAATCCCTTGGTCGGGTGCTGGGTTCTCATGTCGTAGACGAGGAGTCCGCCCTCCAAAGTGGTCACAGCCAGCTTGTTCATAGGAATGTCCCGGCGATCGAACTCTAAGCCGCAAATTCCATTCTTCATGGTGGCCTCCCAGCGCACGGAAAGGGAACGTAGATCGAATATCTTCAGGTCTCCGTTGTCATAACCAGCAGCAACGATGCGCTCCTCGGCATTGTAGGTATTTCCGAAGGCCACGGCCCAGCAGTCCCGGCGAGCACTACTCTGGTTAACGCCATCTCCCATTTGCGGGGGCGGCGACATGTCCACCACAGGAGCCTGCCCCTGGCGGATGTCCCAGACCTTTACGGCGCCATCCCGACTGCCAGTAACGATTTCCGGGGCTCCACAATCGATCTGAGTTCCACCAATTGCGTCGATGGTGTTGATGATGCCACTGTGGGCCTTCACATTGTAGACCGGCAGATCTGGTTGCTCCATGTCCCTGAAAGTAAAGCACATTAGACGTATTTCGTTAGGGCTAGGAGGAAGTTTGCTTACAAAACTTGCAGCCTGCCCTCGAAATCCCCGATGGCCATGTGGCGATTTCTCAGCGAAGCTGCCCCGAAGGTGCCACACTTGAAAGCCACCTTCTTCTCCACGGACTTAACCTTCACCAGCTTGTCCTGGTTGAGTTCGTAGATGTCCATGATTCCATGCCCGTTGGCCTTGGAGCCGAGCACCACAAACTTGGCGGAAAGAGGCACCCATTTGGTGTCGTACACTGTGTAGTTGACAGCCTCGTGGAGGTGCTCGATCAGCTGGGGCTTGTCCATTCCGAGGATCTTATTTGTCTGACACTATTGTATGCTAATACTCGCAATGCGGCCGGTGAAAAGTGAAGGATTTATCGGAAACAACTTGTTTTGTTGTCATAGCTACCTTCTTCTTCTTTCTCAGTGTGACTGCGCTGGTTCCGGCTCAAAAATACCTACTGGCTGACTAAAAATACTAAAAACCGATAAAAAACGGTTTTAAATCAATCTATAAAACAGCTGTTTAAATCTTTTCAATTTATTTGAAAGCTTTTGCCGCTTTGTGATTTAAATATTTTTTTCTTCACTTCTACGCTCTCTTGCTGCTTTTCGGAGAGCAAGAGCAGAAAACTTCCATTGCTTTTTTACTGACACTTACTTTGTTGCTATCTCCCTTTTCTATTAACACCTACGGTTGCTTACGTTTGCTTACGTTCAACATAACGAAAAGACAGCTGTTTAAAGCTTTCCTTTTGAAAGCTTTGCCGCTTTGTGGGTTTAATATTTTTTTCTTCGTTTTACTGGGTCACTTACTGTTTTGCTTCGGTCGCTGTTTCGCTGTTTCTCCCACTATTTCCTTTTGGCGCGAGCATCTTTTTTTGGCGTTCGACCCCCCAACAACACTAGCAACAACAATTACAACTGCAGCAACAACTTCAGATATAACGACAAAAAAAAACATTTTTCGTGTGTCGCAAGCGACGCTTTTCGGTATTAAAATCATTGACGTGCGGTTAAATAATAGAAAATTAATATTAATGAAATAACTGAGCAGATCTAAAATCTATTTAGCATTATTGGCAAGCCTTTTAGCCAGTTTTATGTAAGTGATAATTGTGTTGGCAGAACAGAAAAGTTAATAAAGTGTGCTTAAAGTTCAATAAATGGGCGATGCATGCGCCAGAAAAGTGTTAATCAAAATTTTACTGGCAACAAGTGATACAATAACAAAGGCAACGCTATCAAAAGTTGAAGGTGCCAACCAATACAACAAATCGACAACGACAATATAGAATATAGACGACTACAACAACAGCAGCTGTACTCGTTTGGCTAACGAACTGAGTGCCAACAAAAATTAATTAAGTTTTCTTAAGGTAAAAACAGCAAAGATTCCTAGTTCCCACATTCCCGAAATTATTACACATATTACCCAACATTTCTTGATTTCCGTTTGCTTTCGATTTCTCGTCAATTTGGGACAATCAAATTAATTGTATATTTTATTAGCTTTTTCATTGCCTTTATTGTTTTTTATTAGCTTTTCCCTCCTTTTGGTTCTCTATTAGTGCACTTGCACTTGACACAGTCATCGGGTGAATATGTAATATATATAATGTATATGGTATAGTAGAACATGGTCTGCTCATATATAGACGTATATAGCATGTTTATGTCGTTCTTCCGTTTTGGTGACTTTTTGCCAACCTGTCGCGTCGCTGGTTGAGAATACTCTCTATACAATGGGATCTGTTGATAAGCCCCAGCTCTGGGAAAAGCAAATAATGAATGGCGCCTAATTGGTTTTTCTCTAAAAAACTGTATATATTATGCAGTAAGCAAAATGGTTAATTATTAGAATCTGTAATTACAACCAAAAAATTCCCCTAAAAAGATGATTTGATAAATAAACTTAGGTCTGAGCAATGGTATGTGTATAAGTTTGGCGATCTATAACTTTTTAATATCCAGTTGTTAAAAAATTTGAGGTGAATTAAGTAAAATTAAAAGAAAATTAAACACTCTACGTACTTATCAATCAAAGAGTAATTTAAGCTGATTACTTGCAGCACTATCAGTTATACGTGAGCTGTAAAGATTGCGTATAATCGGGGCCTTGAACACAAAAGTAAAACTCTCCAACTTCACACCTGTTTTGGGTCAATTTAGCAATCATCAAAAGATAACTAATAATTCGATAGTAAAAACCAAGAAACTGCAGCTGTTAGGGACTAAGAACCTAATGAACTAGAATATTAAATATGTATGTATTTAGTGATACACAAAAGATCATTTTTTATAGTAAAATTCTAATTTAAATATAAAATGTAAGATTTTACTTTAATAATAATAATATAATATAAACATAAATTGGTTGACTTGTGTATATTCTCTCTATAAACAGAGATAGTTTTCATTTTCAAGTCATACCATGGTGCTATCAAATATTTTTTTGATCAATTAAACAATGTTTCAATTGATTTTTATTTTTTTGTTTCCATTGCGTTGTCAGAAGTTCGTGCGTGCGCACAGTAGGGAAAATGGAAAATGTTGCAGCCCCAATGCTCCCTCGATTTCCCCCCATGAACCCCTGGCTCTACCGCAGAAAAATAAATAAATGCCGCACAATCGAAATCTAAACAAAGAGATATAAAAAATCTGCCAACTGCCGCAACAGCACTTCCACAGAAGCTGAACAAGGGAAACTCAAAGTCCAACCCACGAATATGAATGCAGTTCGTATCTAAACGGAAGCTAAACATAGTGAAGGGGCAGTTGTCAGTTCTGTGGTCAAATCGATGATGAAACTGGATTCCACCAGTAAGGGTTAATCCGCTGATAAGGGCGTGCCGCATATAGTTCACGATCCAACCCCAAAGACAACGTCTGTCGGCGTATTGAGCTTTGACCTTATTTCAAACGCTGGGAATTATTACACAGAATATAATATTTGCTAGTTCAGCAAGGGGTCTTAAATAAAGTTAAGAAGTTGTTTAAGTATTGTGAACCTCGCTTGTATTTTCTTTATCAAAGCCCCAATATGTTCAAGAATTTAAATTTTAATGGGGTAACCCATTGTCCACTTTATCATATAGAAGGCATTCCAACGCTTTCTATCAATTTATTTTGGGCTTTATAAAAAGTGACTCATTTTTACTTTCCATTATCGTACACTCATAACTGATTGTCATGAATGAATCAGACATCGCACTGGATAAATATTACTACAATTATTTAAATAGCTATTATCTTCTAAAATATAACTCTTATTTTGTTTTCTATAAATAAAGTCAAGTTAATAAAACGACTGCTAGTACTTAACTTTCTGATTATTTTTATAATAAGTAAAGTTTATAAAAAAGCTCGCGTGCTCCATAAATTTTCCCCATAGCCGGACAAATATTTTGCTAAGAAATACCCGTTTATGTACTTCAACGTCATTTTTATCACATCAAGCAGACAGCATCAGCTGAATTTGGAGAACAAAACCCCGGGATCAGATTCCATTTCTAGTATTTGCCTCAGTTTTCTTCATTAGCCTTAACAAAGAAGTCGGTTCAAGTGCGTCAGTAAAAGTCACAGCAGATCAATCAACATGATTGAAGTACGTATCTCCGATTTAACTTACCAAAGCCCACTTCTTAATTGTCTGCGATAACTCTGACATTTGGTTACCACTTACGCAATCAATAATTTGATACCAAAAGCACTGCATATGGTGACTAGAAAAAGGGGAATGCTGACGCTAACTGTAACTATTTCAGGGCCATTAGTTACTGATAAGAGCGGGGTCAATATATCGATACACACCTGCCCGTAGTTTCCCTTTAAATAGGATTCCAATCGAAACAACTTACACAGCAGAACAAAACTTTTAATTGCTGTAGTGTTTTCATGAATATTTTATGTTCTACTTGACTTTCCTTAACCTTCAAACCGCCGAATTGTTCTATTTAAATTTCAAAGAGCTTACAAGCTGAAACTCAGACAGATAATAAAATTATATTAAAAGCACCGCAAGTATTATGTGTCTTACTAAAAATTGCTTTAATGCATAAATCCTTTTATCACAACTTTAAGTATACTCGTTTGTCGAAAAAATATTAAAATTTTAGCGACTGACACATTAAGCTCTACTTTAAAGTATTTGCGTAGCTGTTTTTTTAAAAGGTTAATTCCTAACTTAAATATATAAAAAAAAGTATAATAAAATAGATATTCCTTTCTAGTTTTCGATTTTTATAAAGTTGTTATTAAAGAAGACCCCAACCCACATGTTTTAGTTCGCTGAATTGGCGGGTTTGTCTCTGTGCCGAGGTTAAACATTGATTAACGAGGGCTGATGGCAGTGCTCGTGCTGCTGATAAGCAAAGTGGACACTTTCGATAAGAATTCAGCAGCGATTTCAACTATAGCACTTGTGCACCCCCTATATATAGCGCCTTTACCCTTCCCTTCGGTTCCCTTCTGGGCTAATCTCGCTTTTGGTCATGTGCGTTTGGGCCCATTGCATAAGCTTTTTGGTCTGGGCCAAATGCGGGATCCCGTTTTTTGCACTCTGTTTCCACAGTAACCGGTTCGTTGGTAGTACTAATGAGTGCCCCGCAATTGCCGGCAATACTACAATAAACCAGGGGCATCACAATTAAACCGGATTCGAGGTGTTTGTTCTATATATATATAATAAGCTCGCTTTTTATGGATAAGTACGGATTAGTCATTACTTTCGAAAATGGAGCGAAAAGAGAGAGAGCCCCAGAATTACAAAAAAATTAATTTTTTAGGTTATTCGGTAACGAATTCCAAGGAAACAACCTATTAATAATTATATTTCTAAAACCTTTCATTTATATATTTGTTATTAGACTTTTTGTATTTATTTTCGAAATCATTCTATTTTTATGTTGTTGGGTTATTTTTGACCCAAACCTATCACATTCAATTCACACGCTTTAATTTGAAATGCAAATGCATTTGAGACAGTTGATCTCGATAGGCCAGTGATCTTTTGATCTCCTGATTGATTCCAGATACTTAGCATATAACTGGGGGTACCTTTGGTTTCTCAATCACCTCGCGAAATGTTGAACTTGACATTGGCAGCAAGGTTTCAACCGATTTTGACTAAAAAAAACTGGGGAAGTACTACTAATGAACATACATGATGCAAGTGGCGTTGCCGAACACAGCTTTCAAAATATATTTTTGAGTTTTTTGTTGTTGTGTCTGGCAGCCGCTTCGTAGATCCGGTTTTTGAAAATGTTTACTTTGGTTGATGGATTGCCATTTTATGGTCACTTAGCAGGAATTGTGTCAGTTGGTAACGGGGCTTTGTAGGGTAACTAAAGAGTTGAGTTGTTTGTTATCACGGTTGTGAGATTACCTTTGGTCCACATTGATTAAATGTTCTGAAGTGTTTAATGTTGCTTGAATGCATATTTAATTTACATTGTAAATATTTAAATATTAAATTTCAACATTCCATTTTTATTTATTACGATTTTATGAATAGAAAAAAGATACCCCAGAATGGGTTCTAACTTCCATATAAACCAGTAAATTAATTTTAATTAAGTTTTTGTTATCCCCCTATTCACACTATTTGTTCATTATAAACCCTTAACTTAGACTTTGGCCATAAAAGTTATTTACCATGAACCGATTATTATAGGTTTTTATGGTTTGAGTCAATGAAGTGAATGACAGAATGCGCAAAATGCCCTCTACTGTTATCCCATTTATCGCAAGTGTACGTTACTTTATTGAGCACTTAGCAAGTGGCTTTCGCTAGACGGTAATTGATGATGAACATCTTTAGAAAATACGTCAACAGAAGACGGTTGTCAACGCTGCGTATGCGTAATAAAGACCAATAGAGAATATTTTTGGCAGGGAATTCTACAAATTTAGTCAAAAATTTGCGTTTACCAGAGAACGCATGTTGATCAAATAATTAAACCTATTAGCATTCGCTATGAAATCGTGATTCATTATAGCCGAAAAAGTTCACGAATTCGTGGATATTATATTTAAAGATCTGTCGGTAATGATAGATAGTTCAGTCGTGCGCGGTGGGTGGTAAGGCTAGCAGTTATAGATGCCTGTTGTTTTTGATCGAAAGTGATGCTAATTGTTTGTGGTTGGTAGATGGTATCTAACTTATATTGTGAAATACTCGGTTCAATGTTTGCGATTATATGTTCGAAGTGGATTGTCGAAAAGTTTCCAACGATTACTATCTCCTGCTTTTAAAGCGTCAGTGGTGATAAGGAAACAAATTAGAACAAGTACTTAAAGATTTTTAACAGATTCAAAAAAGTAATTTCAATGGTTTCAGATAAGATGTCCTCAGAAAGACAAGTTTCTGTATTTTTTAAATGTGTTTTAGACTACGTATATGATACACATAATTATGTATGATATAAATATATAAGGAAAATTTAACTTTATGAAAGAAAGCCTCTCGTTGACAAGTATCCACAAAATGTAGAGCACTAAAGTTACTAAATTTTAATCTTTAAAACCTTTATCATACTAATACATTATTTTCTTTTCAGAAACCAAAACACCATCTTAAATCCTTGCCCAAAGGAGCTTGGAAGCGATTAAAAGACTTGCACGATCGCCAAAAGAGGCGGCGTCACTTACTAATAGACAATAGTTCCCAGGATCTACATATCGACAACGAAGCCGGCACTTTATTAATACCTATTGTACGGAAAGAGAACCCTCCAACCAGACCCACTGGAACAATACCCAAGAAACCCAAAGGCGCTGATTTGGATATTAGTTGTCCAGTTTCGCGCTTCAGGCAGTTACAGTTCCAACGCGACCTTTGCATCCATCCTTTCACATACACCAATGTGGAACGCGGCAGGAAACAAAAGGACATAGAAATAGTGGAAGATTTAGCCAAAATGCCTAGTGATAAAGAGAGTCCAGAGTAAGTTTTAATTAAGGATAGGGTTTCATGAAGAGACAAAGTAAAATCCTATTTCTTTCAGAGCCAAACCACTGAACAATAACAACACAAACGGAAATGGTGGCAGTGCACCAAGTAAGCCAAAGATCCAGCCAAAGTACAGCATCCACCGGGATGTGCTGACCCACGAAGTGGTGATCAAGCAAACGGGCTATGGGGCCCGGGACAAGAGCATACCGTCCTCCCTGCGAAACTGCTGGAAGGGCTGGAACTTCTTCGCACTCTTCACCGGCGTGATTCCCATCCTGCAATGGTTACCTCAGTATTCACCCAGGAGAGATCTTCCTGGGGACATTATAGCCGGCTTCACCGTCGCCATTATGAACATACCCCATGGCATGGCCTATGGTATTCTGGCAGGAGTTTCGGCGGGAAATGGTCTCTATATGGCCGTGTTTCCAGTACTGGCCTATATGTTTCTGGGCACCTCCAAGCACATCTCAATTGGCACCTTTGCGGTGGCCAGTATGATGACAGCAAAGGTGGTGGACACGTACGCCAATGTGGATGACCACCCGCATGGATCGGGGTTGCTGTCGAATGGGACGGCCACTGCATCACCTCTTCTGCCATTGAACTCTTCAGTACTTACGGACTTTTCTACCTCAACCAGCGCATCACCTCTTTCAGTCTTCGAGGCCACAACTGCATCGACGATTCAGCTGTTGAATTCCACTGTAATTGCAGATCCCATCACGAAGTTGGAGGTGGCAACCACTTTGGCCCTCACCGTTGGCATTGTGAATGTAAGTTTATTTTAGAAATCACTTTGGTATAGAATATTTTATTAATTTGTCTTATTTTTCAGCTCCTTATGGCTTTTCTAAGACTGGGAACCCTGTCGTCCCTGCTCAGTGAGCCCCTGGTCAATGGATTCACCACTGCTGCAGCTTGTCACGTGGTCACCGCCCAGCTAAAAGATGTCCTGGGCATCTCAGTGCCCCGTTATAAGGGCGCCTTCAAGATCATATACAGTGTTATCGATGTGATCAAGGGCGTGCCGGAGACGAATCTTGTGAACTTTGGCTTTTGCATGGCCGTGATTGTATTTATGATGATCTGCAATGAGATCCTAAAGCCACGGCTGAGTAAACAGTGTCGCTTCCCCCTGCCCGCCGAGCTGATCATGGTGATCGGTGGCACACTGATCTCCAAGTGGTTCAACCTACAGGTCGACTACAAGGTGAACCCGGTGGGTACAATACCCAGCGGCTTACCGGAGCCCATGCTGCCACGCTTGGATCTTGTGCCAAAGGTGGCAGTGGATTCAATAGCCATTGCCATAGTCACCTACTCCATAATCATGTCCATGGGCCTGACATTCGCCAAGAAGCATGGCTATGAGGTTAGGCCAAATCAGGAACTATTCGCCATGGGCATTGGCAACATGGTGGGCGGCTGCTTCTCGTGCATTCCCATGGCGTGCTCCTTGTCGAGATCCGTCATCCAGGATCAGACGGGAGGGGTTTCGCAGATCGCTTCACTGGTCTCCGCCTCGCTGGTGGTGGTCACCCTCATGTGGATCGGCCCCTTCTTCGGCAGTTTGCCCAGGGTGAGTCTATACATATCTTAAATGTTTTTTATTATTTTATTCAATTTATTATTCCTTCTTTCAGTGCGTTTTGGCAGGCGTAATCATAGTGGCCCTGAAGCCGATGTTTATGCAGGCCAAGGAGCTGAAAAAGTTTTCCAAGCAGGGCAAGCTGGAGATGTTCACCTGGATATCCACCTTTCTGTGCGTGGTGATCATCGATATTGACATCGGGTGGGTACCAACCAGTTGTACTATACATAAATGATTTGTTGACCGAATTAGTATTGTGTATTTTCACTGTTTCGTTGAATTTCCATTAAATTCGCTTTTTGTCCATTTACAGTCTCCTGATTGGCATCTGCATCTCCTTGTTGGCCCTGTATATCAAGGGCCTGAAGCCCTACTCCTGCCTTTTGGGCTACATGCCAGAGGCTCCGGGAATCTATATGGATCTCAACCAGCACCGGAATGCCATGCAGGTGCCTGAGACCCGCATTTTCCGCTACAGTGGGTCTCTGAACTTTGCCACAAGTCTGTTTTTCCGGCGGGCTTTGTTTGAGGCCGTGGGTCTGGACAAGATTCCACTGACAAGGATCAGCAGCAGCAATAGTAATAGTCCGAGTAAGGGCAGCAAATCGAGCTACTCTCCGGTTTCGCAGAACGGAGGAAAGGCTGTCAATGGCCAGTTGGAGGTGTCACCTGGTGCTTTCAAGGTGCTCATCCTGGACTTCTCAATGCTGGGACACATAGATGTGGCGGGTTGTCGCACCCTGACGGATGTGAGCAAGGAGCTGAAAGTACGAGGAGCCCGCCTGCTGCTGGCCAGTCCCGTAGATCGGGTGTACGATACCCTGGTGCACAGTATGGCCCTCAGCGAAGGACCTTTTGAGATCTTCCCCACGCTGCACGATTGTGTGGAATATGCCAATGCCTGTCGAACGGCGTGAGAGGAAGAGGGTCATCCTGATCCTGCTCCAGGTTCCCATAATAATGGGGATGCGGACGCAAACCACGTTTTGTGATATGTCCAAGTGATAGCTTGCGCATCGTAGCACCAAAACCCCTTCATAGATGATAAGTCCTATTTTAAACTGAATAGAAACAATGTCGCCGTCTACAATCAAGCAGAATAGGCTAAGTTTGTTTAAGTGCCTCCGAAATATTGATTTTTGTACTTAAAGCATACACAGCCCACCAGTCAAGGCAACCGAAGAACTTCAAGCGATCAATGAAGCGCATTGATCTAGTGCAATTTGTACCAAAATGAACAATTCAAACACACACAATTAGTTTTTAGGGTTGATATGTATGGAGATGTATAAACTGTACATAAAGATTAAATTGAATTTGTTGAAATTATTGGGATATGGTTTCTCAGATGGGAGCTTGGATCAAAAATGATTTTTAAATTTCTTTTATATTTGTGCAGCATACTTTTAGGCTATCTGGAAATCCACTTTAACGTTTACTGAATAAAATATTTAAAAAGTTAGTAAATAATTTTATCTAAATTAATTAGAGTTTCACGTGTTTAATTATGTTTGTAAGCAAAAAAAAGTATACTTTTTCATAAACAAAAGCCAACTTTCAGGCTGTGGCTTAAGATTTTTTATTTTAAAATTTGTTGGAGTCGTTTTTATATTGTTTTATCGAAATATATTCATGATCGGAAAGGTTTTGTTTTTCATTTTAGATTCGATTGATGAAATGATAGGACTAGCAATCAGACACTCAACCAAAATTGTTTTCCCAAAAATGTGATCAAGGATTTTAAAAATTCATAAAAGTGAGTCTCGATAATAAGCCCAAAGTTTTTTGTTCTTAAAGTAATAACTTCATTTGGTCTAGCTGCCCGTTTAGGTAATTTCAAGGTTATTTGGCAAATATTATCTCAACTTATTAACTTATTTAAGAATGTTTTTTTTCCGCTTTTTAGGCGAAAAAAGTAGTTTGGAATATTTTATATTAAATAGCATACTCTTTTTATGGTCTACGAATATCCTCGTACTGACCAATGCAGTCTGGATTATAGGGGAAAAATTTACAACTGTCATTTCATAATTTTTAAAAAATGTGATATTTTCAGCTATGAGACGCCTTTTAATGGTCAATTTACTTTGCTTGTTAATAACTCAAAATGATGTGATAATGTCTTGGGCTGATATAATCATCCTTTGCGGATTTCTGGTTACTATGGTCCATTTACCTTTAATGATGTGAAGTGGATGCTGTGCTGTTCTGGTAAGTATTATAACAACATAATATTTATAAAAAGTCGCTGAGTTACAAAAAGTTTTTAAGGTCTTCGAATATTTAAGAAAATACAAAATTTAAGCCACATGTTTGTGTGACTTTGGTGTGCAACTCTTTTATTACTCAACAATTATATGTTATGTTTTTAAAAGTTAAAATTGTTCTTATATTTTATAATAGTATCTGACTTTCAAATTTTGTTTTTAAAATACATTTTTTTTGGGCCAGGCAGCAGCATTTTCATGAACCGATCTGGTTTGCGTTTGAAGAAGTTAAGATTGATTTTCCATAAAACATATATTTATATTAATTCTTGACCATTTAGGATAAATTGTACTTTAAATGTTATATGATTCATAGATTTATGTACTTCAGGAACCATGAGATACTTGCGATTTCAGTCGGAAATACCTGACCTGATCGGCAGGCAGAATATCCAGCTTTTGGCTGACACATCGCCACGTACAATCGCTGAAGCTGACACCGAGCAATTAGCAGGCACATGACTAAACTGAGATGTATTTTTTGGCTATTTGTTTGCCCAATATCTATATGTTTTCGGGGGAGGGGGTGGAAAATGCCCTGAGCGGCGGCCAAAAGGGAATACAATTGTTCCAACTGATTAGCCATTAAATGACTTCTGCCCGAGGCCACAGAATGCACTTGGAGTTTGTTTGGACTTGTGTGGCACATGGGAAAGACTACATGACTTGAGTTGGTCAAGATCTGAGAGTCGGTTGCGTTTTGTGGTTGTCCACCAAAATGCATGCCAACCCTCAAGCTCGAATTTTTCGAAGGTGACTTTAAGTGAAAACTTAAATTTGTGTCGGTCAGTATTGGAAAAATAAGTTATCTATTTTTGTATTATCAAGCTACAATAAATTCTATGCAATTAACCCTCCGTAACCTCTCAACTTGTTTATTGAATTATTCAAGAGCGCCATGCATTCCCATAGACTCATTAATTTATTAATGAAATATGGAAATTTTTATTGATCTATAGATCAGAAAGTGGAGAGGGAATAAGTCAAGTATTGGAATTAGAATGGCTCTCGAGTCAATAATGATATTATATTTTCCAGAGATTAAATACGTTTATTTTAAAAATGTTCTACCTTGTTTTTTGATTTTACACCCAAGTAATTTGTTGTGTTGATAATTATGCACAGTTTTGCTTAAATTTTAATTATATCCTCTGCTACTTATTGTCAATTGGTTGTAGCCCCCATCTTTGACTCATTCCAATCATTTTAAGTGCTACAATTTAACGCTTCTGACGCTTGTCACCTTCGGCGAGCTCAACGAGGCTTTCAACTCGCTCACGTTAATCGGATCTCAGTCAGAATATTTTCATAGGCGAAATTGACTTGCTTAAAATCGAATTAAGAATTCCCCACAATATTAATGATGCCTTGGCCACTTGTGAAGGAAGCACACAGCTGTAGTCGCCAGCTTCGATTTTTGTGCAATATTTTATCACGAGGCGCCTGCATACGAGTGTTTGGAAATGGATTTTATGGCGACTATAAAACGCAAAAGGTTCCCACAGCGAGTGTACGAGATGCAAAATCAACAGGCAGAGTAATTGTTTTTCATATTTTATTTTTATTTCTATTTTTGCCATGCAACTTCCACATTTGTGGGAAATTAAGGGGACGGAGGCGGGTGACTGCTAACACGGCCATAAAAGTGCTAAACATGCCAACAATTTGAGCGTTTTTCAACCGAGCTGTGGAGTGTAAGCGAAGCTCCCTCGATTTCTTGAGGGGGTGGAGCTATTTGTATACAGGCAACCAACTTTTTGACCTTAGCTTGGAAATTGCCTACAAAATTACTCAACGCAGCCAAAAATATTTGTTTGGCTAACAACAAATTTGAGCTGTTAATTGGCGAAGGTTACCTTCTAATGCAGCAATTAAACGCGATTTACTCAAAATAAAGGGCTACGGAAGGACATGATTATAAAATAGTTATATACGTATGGTCTGTAATAATCTAATTCTGCACTACGACAATCAAAATAAAAATGTACTTTATAATTTAAGTGCAAATATTGCATCTCAGCATATTATAATTTTAAACCTAATGTTTAAATTCTAATGTTATTATATTTATTGTTTGTCAAAAACCGTTCGTTATACGTTACCATAGCTCAATAGTTATAGGGATTTTCCGAAACCATTTTACAATTAATGCAAATAAATTCTTAGATAATACATAGTGCCTCTATATACTCACTCAAAAAATAATTTTAAATGTAAATGTAAAATTATCATCATTTTATAAGAATACTAGGCCTAATAACAACTTTTGGATGGACCTTATTTTACCACCGAAGTCAGTGATCCCTACCACAGACCACTAAAAAATATCATATTTCGTTTGCTTATCAATATTTATTTTTTGCAATTGCCCAAAATGAAACAAAGGTGATGGCTGTGGACGGATCACATTTTGTTTGCTCAACGCATTTTCACATGCCGAATCGGCAAAGGAAGTCGGGGGAAAAAAACCGAAAAAATAGATGAATAAATAAAGAGAGGTACGAAAACATTCAGAAGTATTTGCGGTTTGTAAGCGAGCAGCACCCCCCTCCCCTTGCACCTGCAGTTCGAAGCCTCCAAAATCGGGGGCTCAAGTCGGAATTGTTGTAATTTCGAGAGACAAGACCAGAAAAAGCCCAACAACGAAGCTCTTTGTGAGCGAAACTAATAAAAAACCGATCGCCGCGACTGTTCCCACAACCAGTTTCAAGCGAGCTCTCGAGCGGTAGAGTCGTCGCCGCCCCACATATAGTACCATAGTATTATAGCTCCCCGAACCACTCACTTTCTGTAAGACGAAGTCTAAAACAAGGCTTAAATCAATAAGACATCAAGTGAAACATACAATTTTATCCCCGAGAAATATCCCAATGGTCTAGTGATAATTCCGCTAAGGATAATGCTACTACCTTGGCAATTGTGACGTAACTTTAAAAGCAAATGTTAAAAGCAAGCCCGCAAAAAAAAAAGTTGTTTGCCATGGGAGAACTGCAATTGACAATAACAGCAACAACAGCAACAATCGAATAAAAACTCAATAACAATTATCAACTGCGAGTGAGGCTCAAAACAAATGCAAGAAACCTGTATTAAAAAAAAGTTTAATAAAATCCGAGAGTAAATATTAACAAATATTGCATAAATTGCTACCTACGTAAAATTCGCAAGCTCTTGCGATCTGAATGAAATACGATAAAGCCGCAAAGAGCAACAGAAAAGCAAAACAAAATGTAAAAAATTGATCCGATAAAAGTCGTGGATAATATTTGGTTATTATATTAAGGGACATTCGAAAATTATATTAAATGAGTACAAATAATCAATGAAAAAATGTCGGAAAACAAGTTTCACAAAAGTATATGTGAACCAAAAACCCTTAACAGACTTTCAAACTATTTTTACCACCGAAAAGTTAAACCTCTTGCTTACACATATTTTTTTTTCGTTTTTCATAGCCACCCCGCCTTTGGGTACTGTCCATTAACATTTCCCACTTCCAAAGTTTCTGTGCATTCAAGTGCGACTAAAAATAGTAGCTGTTTCCTTTGACTTGGATTGTTTTGCTTTGTGTTTTTGCAAAACAACAATTTTGAGGCAATTTCCATACGCAAACGCTGAGAAAGAAAACCGCCAAAATTGGTTACCTAACGAAAACTTCGTTTGTGCTACGGGACGGCAAACTTGTAAGTATATTTGTTTATTCATTAATGTTTCAACCAAATAAGGTAGTATTTTTCCATATGCGTTAGGTATACCAATTTAGCTAATCAGTCAAGCAGTCAATAGCAAAATAGAAACTTAACTGAAAGTTTAAAAAAAATGTTAGTTTTAATAATAGAGGTTTCTAGGTAAGAAACTTAGATATAAAGAACTTAAAGGAAGGGTCTTTGATATAATGCATAAATTATAATTTTTGTCTTGTTTTTTCTTCCTTAAAGCAGTTTAATTGTTTATGTACTAATTAGCATTAGTTTTACAGTTTTAAAAATATATCAAAAATGAAACCGATAAGATATATCAACAAAATTATATTTGTAGTTGTGGGTTTTCAAATGAGAGCATATCAGTTTGGTATACTTTCAAATTTTAACTTAGTTCCATTATTTTTATTCATCCCAAAACTAAATCAAGGATCTGCATATAAGTTATGGATGGACCTGATGATTTCTGTATTTATAGTCTTTCTCAACTTGTTTAAGTTCTGAGTTAACATAAAAAATATATTTTAAAATACAATACAAAGGGGTTGTAAGGTCATTAGTTTTCAGATTATCTTCCTAAAAACTTTACAAGATTTTTGTTACCTCCTTCAAGAAAATCCCCAATAGCTGGCTTAGATTTTCAAAAGTGAGAGGACTACGAATCCGAGCTTTAAGTGATCTATTATGATGTGTAGCACGTACAGCCGAACAATTACCATAAACTTAATTGGTTTCAGCTTACAAGCCGCAGATATAGTGATTCGCCCCGCCGCCAACGCCCCGTCATTAATGGCGACTTTCAGATGACTTACTGTCATCCCAGGCACGATTCCCGCAACATGATAACGCCGAATGAAAAATAGTGAATATTCAGACAGTGTGAGAACATTTTTTAATAGCCCCGCCAATTACCTGGCGAACTTAGCTGCGGCTTGACTTATTTGAATTTGGAAAATAATGCTCGAAATGAGATGTCGTTTACCAGCTGCTTGGGAGGCGGGGGACTCCATTGCTCAGCCTGCAATTACTTTTAATTAGCATTTAGAACATCGCAGTGCCCCAAGATGAATCAGAGATGGGGCGGCACTCGTAAACAAGCCACTACAATTAGCTAGCAATTTTTCGGGCAGGCTATTAGTTTGATTTATCTGTTTTGATTACTCCAACTTCAACTGGGAATTCGCCTCGGCATCGCTACGCAGCGAACCCTTGAAGTGGCCATAATGCGTCGCAAGTAACCAAAGTCTCTTTTTAAGAGCCGTAACTGACAAAATCCACAAAACGTTAGCAGCCACCGCCGATAATGAACGCTTGTCTAGGCACATTGCGTTGGCAGCTTCGCTGCGGCGTCGCCGTTCCCAAAAGTGGGTCATGGTTAAGTGTACTTCGGTCGCTTCGCGGTTCGGACCCGGCTTAGAAACAGCAAACAGTCGGCCGAAACCACATCTGCGCATGCGCACCACTCTCGGAGCTTCACTCTCGTTTTACAACTGGAAAACCAGCGATTGGCGGCAAAGATAGTGGGGTATATCACTAACAGATCCTACACGGAAGAAACTTAAAAAGACGTCATGTTTGAGTTCCCCAATACCCTGCACACAATTAGATAATTCAGATACAAATTCAGATTCTATGTTGACGATAGGTAAGCTTAAAAATATTTTCATACAGTTTGTTAACTTTTTTCTACAGCTTGACAGTACGCTTTCGTAGAATCTTAATGGTACAAAAACAAAATGGTAAAAAGTTTTGTTAAATTTTTCCATAGTCGTGAAATATGTTTATGCCAATAAAAAGTTAGAAATATTTCTTATTTTAGAACTTAGAGGTTTTATAAAATATATCACCATCTTAGCACAGAAAATATGTTATTAACTATACTTAACCTTAGTATAGGCCAAAATAGTTATGGAAAATGGAGTGAATTACACAATATAATTTCTAAGCCTGTTTACTAACCATAAGCCCAATCAAAGCTAATTGTAAAATAATCCTTATATGTTTTCGTCGTATAGAGTTGTTGCGCCATCAAGAACCTCTGCATCTTTTCCTATCCCAAATCCCTAGCATCATCCTTCTTGCATCAAATTCCTTTTGGACCTCGTCACCTTTAGAGAAAAGTAAAAATGTTACCTTTATTTCCTATTTTGAATTTATTAACCGACACTTTTATTCCATTAAAAGGAAGACGATATGGGCTTCAGTTCCCGAATGGACTGCTGCGGGCAGTTCGTTAAGTACAGCCTTTTCATAGCCAACTTTGTGATATTCGTGAGTATTTTAATGCAACGAAAACAAATAATCAATTTCACATAATTTATTAAATTGAAATGTGTATAATTTAGGTGGGTGGAGCCATTGTCTTCTGTCTCACCCTGTGGACTCTGGTGGATCGCAGTTTCGTTAACGAGTTGCTCGGAACAAATCTGTTCTCAGGAGCAGTCTACGTCCTGCTGGTTACATCGATCATCATTTGCCTGGTGTCCTTTTTGGGCTGTATTGGTGCTGGAAAAGAGGTCAAGTGCCTACTACTTACGGTGAGTAAATAAATAATCAATATTGTATACAGATAACATAAGAAAATGGAGCTGAATCTTAATTATTTGAAAAGAAATATTATAATTGTGTAACACCTTTTTGAGTATTGATAAACTGATCTTCATTTTAGCCAACTTAAAATAAACTTATTTAAATTTTCAAACAAAAATTTAATTTTCCTTAAAAATATCATTTACTAGGTTTCTTTTAAACAAATTTAAATATTCCTCCAAAAATACTTTAAAAAGTAGCAATATTAAATTCTACTAAGAGCTCCTTCCTAAATTACCTTAAGAAATCACTGTTATTTTCTTCTAAACTATGATGCAAGACCATTTATCATATTCATTTACTAATCGTTTTTCCCTTTGTAGTATTTCATAATAGTGGCTTTAGTTTTCGTCACCATGCTAATTGGCGGCGTCTTGGGTTACGTTTTTCGCGAACGAGTTCAGCAGACCATGCGGCAGGTGAGTCAAATCCATAAATCAGTATGTGGCACTGTATTGAACCCACCTAATGTTCCGTAGGAAATGCGATCCACAATGGCTTTGTACGGCAGCAGGAGGGAGATCACCCAGGCCTGGGATTTGACCCAGGAGCGCCTGCAATGTTGCGGAGTGGATACGTGGCACGATTGGAACAGGTATGGACCAGTGCCCGAGTCCTGCTGCCAGGAGCTCTTTGGGGGCCAGCGAAAGGAGTGCACCATCTTCCCAACCATCACGAATCTGTACAACCAGGGCTGTCTCTATGTGACGACCAACTTCATCAGAGATCATGCGGCGGTTATTGGGGGGACCTCTATAGGGGTGGCCATTCTGATGGTAAGTAACTCCATTTAAATTAATAGATTCATTGTATTGAAATTTCTGAATTATGTATTCGTATTTTCAAAAAATCGGATGACTATATCATATAGTTACATATAGTTTACCAACGGAATTTATAAAAACATGGATTTTATTAAAAATTGTTAGGAACAAACTACCATGCTTATGGAAAAGAACGATCGAAAAATGAATGAGAAAATATTAGGGAAAGGTATCTCTTTGTTATTTTTGATCCATTGCTCTTATTTTGGTCAATATTGTACATTATACTGTATTTATTATACTATATTATACAACACCTATTATAAAATATTATACAGTATTATATAATAATATGCAATATTATTTACCAATACCAATATTTTCTCTGCACTTACTTATTATTTTTGTTATTTCAGATCTTTGGTATGATATTCTCCTGTCTATTGTTCAATATGATCGAATAGCGCCAAAGAGAAGGGGAATTCCATGGCCACGCAGGAAAATTAGCTACCAAGGTCCGAAGTCCGGAGGAAACCCATTTTTGAGTTATATTAAGAGTATTATCCAAATGTATGATTATGTTGACTCTGCACCAGTCAACTTTCCGTTTGTATTATGTATGTATATACGAGTTTAGAAAACTAGTGAGTATTCGTGAGCGAGAAACTTAATTGTATTGTTATCATCTGTTTTGTATTATTTTTATGTAATTCTGTAAATTTAGTCTTAAGCTCCCATAATCAATAACCCAATGCAATTGTTAGATATAAGTCAGCTTTTCTATTGATTATAGAGAATTTTGTTGTCTGTCCATTGTTGTTTCTAATAAAATTAGTTAAAATCAAATACTTTTATTTTTTTATATTTATTATAATAGGCTTAACATTTGGTTTCTTGTTGTTGTTGCTTGGTTGTTTTTTTTTAACTCAAGATCTATTAAGAAAACTTTCCACCATTATATTTGTAAAAAGGTAATAATTTTAAACACTCCATAAGACTTAATTAGAACTGGTTCAACAAAATTCTCTTTGAAAAATGAAGTGTAAACTATTTTCTAAATGCTCCTCAATTTTAATTGATGAAAACTTTACAAAGAAATTTACCATTCATCAATTAAAAAATATAAGTGTGCCCCTTTTAATGGAACATTTTACGAAGAAAATACTTTGTTATTTATATTTCGAAAGGAAACTTAAAGTTATCGTTGCATATTTTTGGGCAACGTGCCTTTATCATAAACTAAAAAAAGCTTAACATGTCAAAAATGTGGTACAGCTATTTATAAAACGATCATGCACAATATCGTAAAGACGAAAAATATAGGTCATTGCTTTCAGTTTAGCCCGGGTTTTTTTACCTTTTTTCCACAAGTTGTTTACATTATTTATTATCAACTGTTGGTACCTATACAATTTAATTTTAGCGAAATCTCATCTGAAAAATATAGCTCAAAATATTTGAGTTAAATATTATTTTTGGAAAATAATTAAAGTTAGGTACAGGTAAATACAAAACGTTATTGGAAATTATTTATTTTTTATAACAATCACACTACTCGGATCTTACCACTATAATCATTATCTAAATCCTAAGCTAATAATACTTCCTATCATAACCCATGAATTTAACAAACAAGTACCGGAACTTGAATCCGTTTCCGTATTATTCCACCACTCCCAATTTCCGTTGTGGTAGGCCGGATCAGCCCGTGGATCGGGAATGGGAACTCGGGCGCTAGGAATCGCAGTCCGACGCACTTGTTCCACCTCTTCGGCAAGTTCCTGCAGTTGGAGTGGATAAAGTTGTGCCAAATTGTATCGCTCGCAGGGATCCTTTGCCAAATCGAAAAAGCAGTGGGCTTTTAGGGGCTCACATTTAAATTTCGGGTCTAGAGGACTTTGTCCTTCAACAGGGGGACACTTCTCGGTGGCTTCGCTTCGCATTTGACTGATGCGATCCTCGGTTAAACCCCGATTTCCTAGGACGCGTTGAACTTCCGATTCCAGAACATGCTGTCCGTAGCTCTCACTCAAGGGATCGTCTTCGTTGGGCTCCAGTTCACCTAGCCACTGATCGTACTGTCCCTCAAAACTGCTTCCGTTTACATACTTTAGATTGTCTCTCATGTACGAAGAGTAACCGAAAACTTCGTCCAACACATGTATCATCGTTCTAGGCTTTGGTTCTTCATTGCCGCTCAGAGAAGGCCAGAGATTAATCCCGTCCAGCTGAAGATCCTGTGGCAAGGATACCCCGGCAGCACCGGCCAATGTGGGCAGCCAATCTACGGCATGAATAGCCTGGTTGGACACATAACCTCGCTCTTTCAGCAGCGGACTCCATAAAGCTCCAGCCGATCGAATGCCACCCTCCCAAGGCGTTTCCTTTTGCTATTGGTAAAAACAAGGAAATAAATCTCGATTATTATTTATATTTATATTTCAGTGTATCTATAAAACCCCTACTAAAATATAAGTATAAGGATGTGATTTATCAAAAATTTCTAGGAACAAACTACCATGTTTGAAGAAACATACTTCTTTTCCCTACTTCAAAAATAAAAATCAATCATGATAGTTGCTTACCCCTCGATAAGGATAGTTAGAACCAGCGTTGGAGTGAATGCCGACCGTGGGCGCTCCATTGTCCGAGTAGAGCAAAATGATGGTGTTATTCAGCATGCCATTATCCTTTAGGGCACCAATCGTCTGAGCCACACTCTTGTCCAGACTGGAAATCATACCTTTGAAAAAAGAATATAGGTGAGGTAACCAATTCACATAATAAACGTTTTAAAATTTGGATGATCAACTCACCAGCGTAAGTGCGTCGCTTGGGATCCTTGATGTGGGCAAATTTGGCCACCTCCTCCTCAGGAGCCTGCATCGGATTATCCTCGTTGCCCGTGTGAACTGCCAAATGACTGAGCACCAAGAACAACGGTTTGCTCTTATCGTGCTCCCCAATAATCCTTTTTGCTTCGGAGGTGAAGGCTTCCGTGGCGTAGGTTCCATTTGCTTCGGGACAGGGTTCAAGATCCCTTCGGAAGTCCAGACCCGTCGAATAGTTCCTGTCGAGCATTCGAACCTGATGGTCGTAATAGTCAATGTACCCGTTGTAATAGCCAAAGTGATGGTCAAATCCCCGCATTGTGGGAGTAAGGTCCTTCCGCCAGAAGCCCAAGTGCCACTTTCCCACCAAATGGGTGGAGTAGCCCGCCTCCCGGAAAAGTTCCGGCATCAGACGCTCTCGCTGAGGAAGACTCCAGGGTTCATCGGTTATAATAACAAAGTGCTGCATTCCTGAAAATATTTAATTATAACATGAAAATAACCTTTATTTGGTTTGTTTCTATATTTAACCTGTGTGTATGGGATATTTTCCGGTTAGAAGGGTGGCCCTAGATGGAGTGCACAAATTTGGAACATAGTGCTTGTTGAGTAGAATACCATTGTAGGCCAGGGCATCGATGTTGGGTGTGAGAATCTGATTCGATCCATGAAAACTCACATCGTTCATACCCTAAAATACAGTAGATATCCGTGCTTATCAGAGGTAACTATTTCTTAAAACGTCAACTTACCATATCATCTATCAGTATTATCACTATGTTTGGTTTGGTGGAGTATCCAGATCCATTTGCCAGACTGAGTATGGCACTCACTACCAGCAGACCCTGGAGTTTTCCTGACATTGCTTATACTCTTAGGACCTTGGCTTTATAGGATCGTATATTTCCAAGCTTCAGACCTGAAAAAATGTTTTAATCCTTAACAATAAATATATATATGCATTGTTTACATATTATATTAAATCCAAGCCTTTCATTTGAGAAAGATATAATTAATTTAAGTAATGTTTAGTCCTCGTTATAAATCAAAAAAAGGTATATTATGTACCACTATGTTTCAAGTAGGTAACACAATGTCTAGTACGGTTTACTTTATCGAAATTATTGAGTAATAGCTAGTAAAAGAAACTCCCACTTGCAGACAGTTTGAGCGATACTAAAATGTATTCGGTTTATTGTTTTTGGCAATGTTGTGAATTGCCAGCTTGTAACTGACTTGATTACAATATTGCGCATCCAGGCAGTATCTGCCGAATTTTCTGCGCCATAATTGGCCATTGTACCATAAGACATCTTCCACAGGTGCTGCTACCCAACTTCTCTCTCCTGACCTACCCCATGGTTCATTGTGGCATGTGGCCGAAAAGTTCATTCAACCATTCGGCCGACTGTTGTCTTTTTATTTTGTTGAATTTTAGCAACAATTGCTAAGGCATTATATAAAACGAGAAACACATGAACACTTGCATACTTGTACTTGAGCTTACCTCCGCTATGAGGACCGTAATTTCTTTTTATCTTGGCTAAAACTGTGGTTTAATTGTCGCAATTGGCCATAAAAAGCTGGCAACAATGAAATCGAGGCAGATAAGCGAGACAAACCATAAAATCTATGAACTGTGCAATTGTTTTTAGCATTTTAGGCGAGTTTAAGTAATGCTACATAATTTGGATGGAAATAAAAGTGTGCGAGCGGAATGGGAATTTTCGTCACGACATGTGGATTGTGACTGAGAATGGGAACGCCCAACTGACAGGTGATGACCTTCACAGCTTGTTAATATCGTGACCTTGATTAAACACATGTTTTGTAATCAATATCCAGTTCATCGTGCATTAATGGAAAGGTTCTTGAGTGTAAAGCCCCCATTAATGACACTGAATAGTTTAATTGAAACTAGTTTATTACATTAAAGCTTGTCATTTTTCCAATTCGTAAATTTTCAGGACTTAGACATCGTGGATAACCACTAATAAGGTTCAACCACACTTTACGTTAGCAAATTACCATGTAACCTGCTGTTGTTAACCAACTTAAGACATGTGGTAAGACCTAATCGGGGTATTGGGAAATGTTTTGATATTAAGAAAAGTGGGAAATAAAAAATAACGCGGAAAAATATTGTTGAGTCCAAAATATACATTTTTAAACTCCTCATTTGAAGTCAGAAATAAAATAAAAAAAGGATCATTCACCTCATAAACATAATCATCTGCATTTATTATTACTTTGTAATTGAAAACTAAGTCAAAAAAGGTTACCCTTTGTGTCATCATATATTTTGAAAAATAGCTGCACTACTTTTAATACCACTTAATCTAGGCATCCTTGAAACGTACTTGGAGAAAGTGATTCTTAAGTGCAGCCGTTTGAATTTTATTAAACCTTTTTGTTTGTCATAAAGAAATCTGTTTTCTCAAGCATTCGTTTATTTAAGTTCAAAAAGTTTGCTCTCTTTAAATGACATTATAAAAGCAGAGACTGTTTTTATTCAGATATAGATGTTATTAGCGAAGCACAAACTGGTTAAGAACTTAAAGCTGTCGGACTTTTGGTATTATTTGTTCAAAAAATAATTATTTATTAGGTATATATGATATTTTGCTTTGGAATTTGAATAATTGCTTTTATTTATCTACGGTATCATTGGATTTATGCAAATAAGAATTTATAATTCTGGAAAATTTTAAAAGAAAATGAGTTGCTTCTTCTTTTTAAAATATTTTTCAACTGTGAAACTAAGTTGCTTAACCTTTTTAACACTTAACACTAAGCTCTTAACTGTTTTTCCGGAATCAGCTGAAGGTTTTAACGATGAAGGGTGATCGTCGGCGATCCTTCCCCCAGCGGCTTCTCCACTCGACTAACCGCTCCGCTGGATTTTGCCGCTTTTAAAGTGACAACGTTTTAGCCCACTCAAACGACTGTGACGTCACGAAACGTGCGCGAAAAATAATCGTATACAACTCATAGCACACTGCTATAAAACAGCCACAGAAATTATCGCACGAAAGCGAAAACACAGCGCCATAAAAGCCAAAGAAAAAATTGGTTTTGCAAAGACAGACAAACGGAAAAGCAAAGGTAATTTCGAAGTTCACCGAACTTTTAAAGAGTTAGGGGAAAATCTGGAGAGAAAACGAAGGTATTTTGAAATGAACTACTTTGATTGTTAACTAAGGTCGGGGTTCTTATAGCTTGTTCTTTGATAAGTCGAATTGATTAATAATCAGCAAACGGGTTTGGTTCGCTCTAATTGAATTGATTAGTATTCAATCATTCGATTTCGTACGATCTTGGCCTTGCCGATTTTTGTGCCAACTTAAGAAGGTTAGCCATTTCATGTGGTTGATATTACTAGAACTCGGTGAATAAAAACAAACTCTTTCTTTTAGAGGCATTTTTATTGATACAAATTATATACAAGAGTTGGGCTTGTAATACATTTTTATACCCGTTACTCGTAGAGTAAAAGGGTATACTAGATTCGTCGGAAAGTATGTAACAGGCAGAAGGAAGCGTTTCCGACCCCACAAGGTATATATATTCTTGATCAGGATCACTAGCCGAGTCGATCTAGCCATGTCCGTCTGTCCGTCTGTCCGGATGAACGCTGAGATCTCGGAAACTATGAGAGCTAGGCTATTGAGATTTGGCGTGCAGATTCCTGAGCTTCTTACGCAGCGCAAGTTTGTTTCAGTAGACTGCCACGCTCACTTTAACGCCCACAAACCGCAAAAACCTGTGACGCCCACAATTTTCATGCTAGATAAAAAATTTTAACTGAAATGTATTGGTCTCGTCGATACCTATCGATTGATCCAAAAAAAAATTTGCCACGCCCACTCTAACGCCCATAACGCTTAAATCTGTATACCGCCGGTAGGTGGCGCATTTTAATCTCGCTTTGCTGCTTGCATATCTCCATTTAGCTGAGTAACGGGTATCTGATAGTCGAGGTACTCGACTATAGCGTTCTTCCTTGTTAAAGTTTGATTTACTTATGAAAAGGGTGTTTGATTTATAGAAACGCGAGTTTAGAATTCTGGAAAATTTAAAATCAAACTTGTTGAGGACCTGGTGAAAAATATAAGGTATTGCAGAGCGATACCTAGACTGGACTTTTTAAATTATCGAAACAGACAAGGCTGAAATAAGATTGCACACAACTATACTTTAGGGGACTTCCATTACGAAAATTCACCAGATCTTAAGTGTTAATCACCAATCCATAAAAGGAACCAACTATCTAATCATTCAAGTTACCCCTCCAAAAATTATTTACAATCCATCTTATCAGGCCTAAGACTATAGGGGGAGGCCTATAAAAGCGGTGAACAGATGGAAATGACCACAACACAACTCCAATCCTCAGTCAGCAATAGAACCATGTCCTCAACCAAGAGCTCTGTTATTGTGGCCGTAATCCTCGTCCAGCTGGTGGCTCTCATCCAGGGAGGTATCTACAGCACGGAGGACAAGTGGGTGTACCTGGACAAGACCCTAGACCTACCAGAGGGAGCGGTTCTTGGTGGCATCGATCCCAATGGTTACTACAACTACGTGGGTCGTGTGGTCTATAGCAGTAATATTCTGCCCGCCCGAGTGGTTCCGGAATTGGGCAAGGCCACATACAACACGGACACGTTGGGCAACCAAGCCACGTCCTACGAGGTCCTGGTGTCCAATGCCACCGTCAGCTACCATTGGATCCGCAGCTTCGATGGGTTCAGGGAGAAGAACGCCGTATCCGTGGGAACCAACGCCCTCAACGACCGTGTATTCATCTGTCGTGTCCGTTGCGATGAGGCGGTCTTCATTGGAACCTTGTACCTGGCAAAGCGGTCGTGCATTGTTAAATACGAGAACCTGCCGACCCGTCAATTTGACAAATACGAGATCCTCGTTAGGGAACGCCATGCTGCTACCTTTTCTCCGTTTGTAGATGGATACATTGGACACTAAGATTTGACTAAAAAATAAATATTTATTCAAAAACCATTTCTTTGGCACTTATTAAATATATCGCTGATCTGCACTTCAACTGATGTCTTTCTTGTTCACCAAAATATGATAAAAATATCAGCAAAATGGGCTTGTTTTTAGTTAAAGGGAGTGCGAGATTGAACACAACACAAAAGCGCCACCTAGCGTTTATTCCTATTTCAATAACACGCCACCTAGCTTTTATTCCTATAAGGGTGGTGAGTTAACGAAATCTCGTAAACAGCCGGTTTGCTGCATGACTATATCTCCAGCCGTCCCGCACTTTTCGCAATTTTCTAAATATTTATTATTATTTGGTTATTTATACCAGATTTGGCATGTGGATGGGTAATGTTAATAATAACAATGTGTTGTAGAATTTATACAAAATATTAAAAAATGTGGGCGCTAGACTTTAGACGTATTAGCGTTATGGGCGTTTGTGGACGTTAGGGTGGGCGTGGCACCCTGCTGAAACCAACATGCGCTACGCAGGAAGCCCGAGAACATGAATGCCTAATCCCAACATTCTAGCTCGTATAGTTTCCTATCTCATACGGCGTGGATAGATCGAGTCGGCTAGTGATCCTCATCTCAACGCATCTTTCTACATTTTACATACTTTACTCAACGAATAACGGGTATAATAAATTCTTAACGATTTGTATTGAAAAAAACAAGAACGATTTTTTATTGAAGGTAAGATATTTCTTTTCTTGATTTTGTAGACTATAATTTTGAACAAATAAGTCACCAAAAAGAACAATTAAAAACAATCCGCGTTACCGAATCGTATTCTCTAAAATGTGATGTAAATTGAAGAACAGTTTAAATTCGTATCTTCCAGAAAATGTCCTTTATGTTTTCTAAAATATAACGATGTGTTGATATATGTATTCACCAAAACATCCTTGCCTGATCTAAACTTTAATAATATGATTAATTATTATTGTTATTAAATATTATTACTCATACGCTCAAACTATTTACATTGTTTCGGATAAAAGAAACACACCGAAACACTTAAGATTTGGTTCAGTTCTTATTTTATTGAATCTAATAAAATGTGATCTGAATATTTTTATGTATGATCAAATAAAAAAAACAAGGAAGAACGGTATAGTCGAGTACCTCGACTATCAGATACCCGTTACTCAGCTAAATGGAGATATGCAAGCAGCAAAGCGAGATTAAAATGCGCCACCTACCGGCGGTATACAGATTTAAGCGTTATGGGCGTTAGAGTGGGCGTGGCAAATTTTTTTTTTGAACCAATCGATAGGTATTGTCGAGACCAATACATTTCAGTTAAAATTTTTTATCTAGCATAACAATTTTGGGCGTCACAGGTTTTCGCGGTTTGTGGGAGTTAGAGTGGGCGTGGCAAATTTCTTTTTGGATCAATCGATAGGTATTGACGAGACCAATACATTTCAGTTAAAATTTTTTATCTAGTATGAAAATTGTGGGCGTCACAGGTTTTCGCGGTTTGTGGGCGTTAGAGTGGGCGTGGCACTGTGCTGAAACAAACTTGCGCTGCGTAAGAAGCTCAGGAATCTGCACGCCAAATCTTAATAGCCTAGCTCCCATAGTTTCCGAGATCTCAGCGTTCATCCGGACGGACAGACAGACGGACAGACGGACAGACGGACAGACGGACAGACGGACATGGCTAGATCGACTCGGCTAGTGATCCTGATCAAGAATATATATACTTTATGGGGTCGGAAACGCTTCCTTCTGCCTGTTACATACTTTCCGACGAATCTAGTATACCCTTTTACTCTACGAGTAACGGGTATAATAATATACGCAGTTTCTTGAAAGGTTCTTCTAGCACTAGTTTACTTCAAGCTTCTTGTTGCGCAACTTTTTGCGTAATATATCCACAGCATATTTAATGGGGACTTCCATTCCGGAAATGTTTTTGAAATTTCTTAAGCCTTACCAAGAAATCTGACTATGACTTTCCAAAAACTACCCATTTATCTAATCTTTCGAGTGTTCCCCGAAAATAATTTACAACATGACCTCACCCCGAAAGCGTAAAATACTTTAAAAACGGTCAGCAGATGGTCACAACAGCTCAGTCAACAGTCCAACCATGTACTCATTCAAGAACTTAATAATACAGACAGTCCTTGTCCAGATGGTGGTAGTCATCCAGGCTGGAGTCTATAGCACAGATGACCAATGGGTTTTTGTGGACAGAACTAAGGACCTGCCGGAGGAAGCTGTTTTGGGTGGCTACGATCCAGAGGGCTACTACAACTACGTGGGTCGTGTGTCGTACGTCAGTAACGTTCTGCCCGCTCGAGTGGTTCCGGAATTGGGACGGGCAACCTCCAACACGGACACGTTGAACTTCGTAACTATTACCTACGAGGTCCTGGTGTCTAATGCCACAGTAAGCTACGAGTGGATCCGCAGTTTCGATGGTTTCCGGGAGAAGAATGCTGTATCTGTAGGAACTAATTCCGCCAACGATCGCGTCTTCATCTGTCGCATCCGTAGCGATAATGCGCTCTTCATTGGAACCTTGTACCCTCCGAAGCGAAAGTGCGTTGTCAAATATGAAAACATCCCACTTCGTGAGTTCGACAAGTATGAGATCCTGGTCAGAAAGCGCAAAGTAGCTCTGATTGTGCCATATGTTTTGTAGATTGGTACATAGTAAACTGAATGTTAGCAAATAAAATACATGCTTATTGTTCAAAAACATTTCTTTTGTGTTCTTAATTGACTTGTCATGTTGCATAAGATAAAAGATGTAAGCTATTTTCCACTTGTAGGTTAGAAACAACAAAACAACAGTTTTGGTACTTCATTAAAACTGAAAGCGGGTAAGCGGTTAGTATTGGGTCATTATTAAGGGAGTTCTAGCTTGGAAAGCCATCCATCAGAAAGCATATTATAGTATTCTTAGAATTTAACAATGCTATGCTGATTTGGCAATCTTGTTAAAAGGACACATAAAAAATATGTATACGCAGAGGGAAATATTCAAGTACATTGTTCTTGATTTGAGAACATTCGTTCTTAAAAACCGTGTAAGTAAATTTTGGTATCAAATACCTCAATATTAGAATGGAATGGTGAGAAGGGAAAAGTTAAATGGAGTTTATATAACAACTTTTCAATAAGTATACCCTACAGACTGGACCAATAGTTTAGTTGTTAAAATATACAATGTAAATACCACCAATTTATCTTGATTCAAGTACAATGAAAACATTTTCTTTTTTAAACATTTTGTTCAATATGTTGTTCTTAATTTGAACTTAGATTAGAATGTCAGAATTCTCTCAGTGTACATATATATATACTATATATAGTAATCGCATTCCGTTTTCAAATACAATTGTTCTATCTAGAGAAAAAAAGTTCTGTAGAAACACTTGTGAGCTAAAAGCCTATTGAAATATGCGCCCTATTTATAATTTATAAAAAAAGGGGATTGAAGTATTCATAGTTTCTATTTGATAAAAACTAATTTTACTCGGTTTTATAGGAGCATGCAATATTGGCGCTCCAAAATCTCATTTCATTGAAATTTATTAATACCTATATCTTTTTCATTTCCAGATTAAAAGATTATACAATAACTTAAAAATATAAAATAACTGGGAAGGGGATTTTTGTCCTCTCATATCTGTTATTTTTAGAGGGTGCAATAAAACAACGATGCGTAAAGTCACTCTTTATGTTAGTCACCGAAACTGATGCTATCAATACCAATCATCTGATAACGAAAAGTGTTGGAAGTTGGGAGATAAGGAGGCGACTATAAAAGCAGTTAAGTTCCAGACCGGACACTCAAAGCGAATCCAACAGCCCATCGAGATGTACAAAGTTGCTTGTTTGGTTTTGGCCCTGTTCGCAGTCGCCTACGCGATTCCCTCGGCATATGGTGAGATCCAAAAAAAGTGGAGGGTTATCTGAACCGAAGTAATACCTATATTCCTGCAGATACCGAGCACGTGTGGAGGGCTGGAAACCTGTCGTTCGTTATCCCCGATAATGCTGTTTTGGGTGGCTTTGATCCCTACGGATTCAACACATACGTTGGTCGTGTGAAATACATCAATGACATCCTGCCCGCCCGCGTTGTTGCGGAAACTGGTGTGGCTTACTTTAATACCCCGACCGTCTCCTCGAAGCTCCTTATATACGACATCCTGTTGGCCGATCGCTATACGAACTACGTGTGGGTAAGGAGCTTTGACGGGTTCTACGAAAAGGGAGCCGTGGCCGTCGGCACTACGGCCAAAAATGAGCGCGTTTTCTGCTGCCGAGCCAAGACCGATGGAGGTGTCCTGATCGGCACCCTTCTTCTCAGCGAGAAGCTCTGCATCATCAAGCACGAGACCTTGGCCCTGCGGAAGTTCGACAAATATGAGGTCTTGGTGGCCCAGCCGGTTAATGGAACCATCTACTAGACTCACATATTAATTTAAGTCTCTGGTAAATTAAAGAGAGAAATATTTCTGGACTGCTAATAAAATATGAATGAATCAAAATTTGGGTGTAAGAAAATGTATCTTTCCAATTTTACTGGAGGTTGGTAAAATATAGTAGTGTTTGTTTAGTTGAAATGAGAGCAGCATTAAGAACTTATATAAGTTTTGATTTCATGTTTAAAAAATGCAATAAGTAAAAAACAAACGCAAATTTATTTAAATATAATTGGGAATTAATCCTATTTTTATTACCTTACGCAGTTGGTGTTGTAAAAAAACACAAAAATATGTTTTTGATTATAGATATGCGTCACAACAATTTAATTCGCTTTAAGAATATTTACAAAACAAACCGTAACATAATGGGTAATGGACTTTCTCTCCTCCTCATGTTAAAAGAAAATTATATTTTCAGCTTTTTACTTTCGATTCCTTAAACCTATTTTATTTTATCAAGAGGATGAGAAACAGGCCTTAGTTTATAATATCTTATGGTGAGTTTGGCAAACATAACAAGTAAATTAAGTCTCTTATAATTTTTAACATTATTCTTGTGATAACCATAATTACCGCTTGGTTGATTACAAAATTAAATCTGGAGTAACTGATAGTCATAAAATATAAACATCCTCACATTTTCATTAAGTTCTGTTAATCACTTGTAAACCACTTTGATTGACAGAGATCTACTTTTGTGTGGTTTTGATTGATTTAAAGGGGGTTTTCAGCTTATCAGTTTTCGCAGAAGTGATCGATAAGATAAGCAGGCGGATTGGCTATTGGACACGAGCCATTTAGACATTACTCAGAAATGTTTACAGTTTGGTCAAAACTGAGTTATAAATTATCTAAATTGGTTTACTCCAAACTCTCGATTTACAGTGAGTGGTATAAAGACACCGCGTAGTTGTCTTCAGCATAAAGAAATATTTCCATTGCTTAACAATTTTGACATGATTTTGATTTTTTTTATGCGGTAAATAAATTAGTATTATAGTATTCTTAAGACCGTCTAGTATTATTGCTGGTATAGAACCTGAAATAAAAAAAAACTTGTTAGAAAATGTTAATTTTAATTTGAAAGAATTAATTTAATTCGGAATAAGATTACAAAATTTATAATTTTCCGAGCAGATAAAACGTTGTCGTTAAGTTTAATAAGTCATTTAATACACATGACCTATATAGAAAAATTTACGATTCATTTTTTCAAAAATCAAGTCAGACGTTTTTATATGGAACAGTATTGTGTTTACTGCAAAATATTTGAGTATGAATCTCTACGTGCAATACTTACTCAAAGAGTTATCTTGAATTTAGAGAATCCACCGACTCGTAAGGATGAGTACTAATAAAAAGTTGACTACTTTCATCCCCACAATTGTCCCCGAGCTCGAACGCTGCTCATCCTTCCACCACGTCCACTCATTGTTGTAAAATCGGGGATCGCAATCCGAATCCGCAGGTTTATTGTTTGGAGGGTGGGCCTGTTTGGCAAACTGCTCAATTCGCGCCCAAAGCTCCAGAAAAATGGTCGTGTTTTGATACTCCTCATACAGGTTGCTCCGTTCGCAGGGATCCGCGTCGATGTCGAAGAGGCAGGGTGCCTCGAGGGGCATGCAGGGTTTGATCCCTGTCGCAGGATCCGGGCACTCGATCCTGGCCTGATCCCTCAGCTCGCTTATGTTGCGCTCTCCGGCGGATACCCGCTGCAACTGCTGCCAGACACTGGTGTTCCGAACAAGATCCTCGTACTCCTCGGAGCGCGGATCCACCTCACTGGTCACTCTTTCACCCAGCCAGCCGTCGTAAAGTCCCTGACTGGTAGTACCGCTGATTACCTTCCACTTGCCACGCGTGTATGACAGGTGGGGTTCCTCCACATCCTCATCGAGTACGTGGACAATCTCCCGCTCCACCGACTCGTATCCGTACTTAAGGGCTGACCAGAGATTCAAACCGTCCAGGTGGAGTTCCGGATCCAACGATATTCCCGCTCCTGCTGCCAACGTGGGTAGGAGGTCGCCAATATAGATCTGCTGCTTCCACACACTTCCCAAGCGCTCGAACTCAGTGCTCCAAATGGTCGCCGAGGATCGCAGGGCACCCTCCCAGGGGGTATTCTTTTGCTAGGATTAAAGAAGGTTAAAGAAATCAATGAAACTCAATATAAGGCATTTCAAAAATGGTTCCTATTTTAAAATGTAATGTCAATAAAAAATATTCAATTTTTCAAATTTTTTTTTTTAAAGGTAATGCTTTTGAAAATATAGTCATTAGATTTTTTAAAAGCAATGCCACTGAAAATACATTTCTTTGTGTTATACATTTACTTAGATTTTCAAAAAGTACATTTCATTGGCATTGAAAAAAAACAATGCCACTGAAAAAAAAATTCATTACAGTTCCAAAAACTAATGATAGTTGAAATATTTTATCCTATAAATTGTTTATACATCTGCGTAAATTTGTACTTACTCCCCTCAGTGGATAATTGGAGGCGGTGGTGGAGTGCGTTCCCTGGGTTGGTCCCCCGTTATCAGACAGGAAGAGTACGATGCTGTTTTGGAGCATTTCCTGTCGTGCCAGGGCGTCTATGACCATTCCCACGCTTTTGTCCAGTCGTGAAACCATTGCGGCATAAAAGCGGTGGGTTTCATTTGCAATATAATCGAATCGGGCCAACTCATCGGCAGGTGCCTGCAGTGGGTTATCCTCATTTCCAGCATGTGGAGCCAGGTGATTTAAAAGCAGAAAGAGTGGCTGGCTTTTATTTCCCGATCCGTGGTCCTCAATTTCCTGGACGGCAGCATCAGTGAGCACATCGGTGACATAGTGTCCCACCTGATCGTGAGTGGATTTCAGATTATCCCGGAAGTCGTGGCCATTGAAGCCTTTATCCTATAAAGAAAAGAATTTACAGCAAAAATTGATGTATTATTTTAAAATCTTAAAAAATGTTAAAAGTCTAGTTTTAGTAAAATAATATAACATTTTTAATTTAATATATTACCCGTCGTAATATTGACCCGTCGCTTAAAACCCAAAAGTTTTTTTTTAAGATCACATATTGGATTGCCACAATTACACTTGCTTCCGTGTTTATAAACACTTATATCAGGGTTTAAAAGAGGTTATTAATATTTTACAGATTTTTGCAGACTTTAGGTTTTGAAAACATTGCCTACTTCTTGGCAGATGAAAAAAGTTAATCTTGTAAAAAATATTCAGGTAAAAATGGATGTTTCCTACCTTTTGTTCATAGCTCTGCGTGTAGTAATCAACATAGGCCCCAAGGTACCCCAAATGACGATCGAAGCCCCGTTGTGTGGGCGTAAAGTTGCGCTGTGACATTCCCAAGTGCCACTTTCCCAAGAGACTAGTTCGATAGCCATTTTCCCGGAAAATCTCCGCCATGGTGGTCTCATTTAATGGAAGACCCCAGGGTTGATCGTTCACGATTACATAATGCTGCATACCTGATGAGCATTTATAAAATCATTTTTGTGTTAGGAATATCACATACAAAATAAATGGCGTTAATAAATGGCTATATGAAATTATAAGAATTTAATTGACTTGCCTGTACTAATGGGATATTTTCCAGTTAGAAGAGCAGCTCGACTGGGAGTACACATGGGAGCGGCGTAGAGATTGTTCAGGATCACTCCGCTATAGGCCAGAGCATCAATGTTGGGAGTGAGGAAGTTGTTGGAGCCGCGGAAACTTACGTCGTCGAAACCCTAATATAGAATAACATTCGTTATTTAACAGTATTAAACAGCGTATTAGACTCACCAAATCATCGGCCATAATAATGATTATATTGGGCTTATCGGATGTGGCAGTTATAACACTGCATAAGGCAGTACATAAAACTAATCCAATAGTGAACAACGAAGTAGAACTGCTGAGTTTATCCCGATTAGTTGACATCGCCGTGAATGGAGTGAGGAATATATGGGACAGCTAGTAAAAAACAAACAAATGTGAGTTAGTGCAAATAAGCGTTTTAAAAATTAACATACCAAATGGGCGACAATGATGAATGAGCTCGTCAGTCCGTTCCGGATATCTTAGCAGTAAAATGGCTCCTAATATGATCTATTTTATGGAGTTTTTAGTAGTTCATTTTCAGAAATATCTACAGTTTAGCTACTTGTTTCTAGTTCAATTGATTAACAAATAGTCGGGGAACAAACTAAATAAACAAAATAAAACAACTGATAAGCAGGGAGCAAACATCGAGTCCATACTCGCACTTGTGCAAATATTTTCATCAAATTAGGCATACATAAAGAACACAGCAATTACGATTAAAATGCAAATGAGATGGAGCTGGGAATTAGTTAAGTAGGAAATTGCCTATGATCACTGCTGTGCTGAAACTTTGGCTTGGGAGTACTATTGTTCTCAACCGAAACAATTGCTTTTTTATACCATTTATATCATTTTTTGGGTGCTAAAAATAATTAATTCTTGAAAATACATTCAAATATTTAGGTAATAACAATAAAACCCATTAATACAACAAATTGCATTTAATAAAGTACCATTACAATAAGTAAGTGACGACAAGCCAGTATCACATTCCTTACTAAATTATCTTTTATAGCGGCATTTAGATTTCGAACTTTTTGCTTATTTATTGCCTAACCCCTCCTTATATAAAATTTAATTTCTTTAATTGTTTTCAACTGTCACTCCAAACCCACTGATATAAACACCGAAATTGTATTCAAAGATTTGGCGGTGTTTATTGCTGAATCATTTTATTCTGTTCACACACTTTTATAATGACCACAGAGAAACATGTTCCACGAAAGAGAATAAAAGGAATCCAAATAACAATGGGCTTATCAGCTGGATTCGTGCATGCCAATTCCACTCACAAGTATTCGCGATCGATTTTATTGTATCCCGAGTTCTGATCTGATCCGCCGTACTCGAAGTGCGGAGAGCAACTGAATAACATCTGAAAATAATTCGAGACTGCCTTAATAGCCAGTTACTGGCTAATATGTATCCCCTCCAAATAAACATCAAACCAGCTTGGAGTGGGTGGTACCGAATGAGAGAGAGCGTGATATGATGCGGTAGGAGCAGTTTTTGGTGAATACTTTTAGGAGGAAAAATAAGTTTCATTAAAATAACAATAGAAATGACTTCGAGCGGTATTCTGATGGGACTTGTGTCGATGCACGTAAGAATTCCATCAAACTTTAAAATAATGTAATTACATTATTTTATTACCTACAAAATAAATAAAATAAAAATATAAAAAAGAATTACTAAAAATATTTTTTTGGAAAGAATTAAAATAAAACTTTTAAACACAGTCGGATAGCATAATAACATTCAGATTTGGAAAATTTTTCAACGCATTACTGCAAAAAAAGTCTTAAGATGGCGTTGTTTCAGAACCACCAGAAAAAGCCATGCGGAATGGATGGATTGAGAAATTTTCAATTCTAAACTTATTTATTATACTCAATATCATTTTACAATGTTAAATTTACATAACTGGCCGATTTGAAAAACGTGTTTTTTATACCCTTGCAGAGGGTATAATGATTTCAGTCAGAAGTTTGAAACGCAGTGAAGGAGACGTTTCCCATAAAGTATACATTCTTGATCAGCATGACTAGACGAGTCGATCTAGCCATGTCTAGTCTCTCAGTTTTAAAGCTATCGGGCTGAAACTTTCCGAAAAGTCTTATATCTTTTGGAGGTAGTATATAAGTCGGAACCAGCCGGATCTGGTTCCGGACAACTATATCTTATAGCTCCCATAGGAATAATCAGAAAACAAAATTTTAAAAGATTATATCTTTGGTGTTTTTTAACATAAAACCTCCTAAGCTTGGAAATAACATTTTTTAATTAGTTTTGAATTTGGAATTAAATTTTAACAAAATGGGATGACTATATGATATAGCTGCCATAAGAACGATCGGAAAATTGGTGGGAAAATAATATGGAAAAAATTATAGCTTCGGTGTTTTTTAACATATAACCTCCTACGCTTGGAAATAACATCTTTTAAGTAGTTCTGAATTACGAATTTAATTTTATCAAAATCGGACGACTATATAATATAGCTGCCAAGGAAAGATTGGAAAATTGGTTGGAAAATAATATGAAACAAATTATAGGTTCGGTGTTTTTTAACATATAACTTCCTAAGCTTGGAAATAACATTTTTTAATTAGTTCTGAATTTCGAATTTAATTTTATCAAAATCGGACGACTATATAATAGAGTTGCCATAGGAACGATGGAAAATTGGTAGGAAAATAATATGAAACAAATTATAGCTTCGGTGTTTTCTGACATATTATCTTATACTATTGGGAATATAGTTTTATGTATTTTTAAATTAAATAATTATAACTGCAATGGTATACAAGCTTCGGCTTGCCGAAGCTAACTTCCTTTCTTGTTTATTTTCAGTTGTAGCTTTTGACTATGGATCCACACATTTTTTCGCGTTAAAGCGTGGCCAACTTTTAAAACAATCTTGCACAGAGCAGGCATTACTAAAATTTACACAGGAGGAAATGCAAAGGTTGAATTTAAACTTTATTGGGTCGCATACCCTTTCTTTTGCCTGTAATAACAAATACAAAGTACCCTTTTACTCAAAATATCAAAAACAACAATTGTCCATTTTTGACAATAAAGGAATTATCAATGATCATCATCTTCTTCATCATCATGATGTCCGCCTCCATGTCCGCCTCCGGCTTTACTACCGCCGATAAGCGTATTCCAAGTATTCTTAACCAGACTCCAAGAATTTGCAGCCCAATCCCACCATTTGCAGCAGAGAGAACAGATTACACATAAAGTCCTGGATTTGACTTGTTGGTTCATCATGCCCCTGATAAGCGATGCAGTATCGTTGGTAATGACTGCCTTGAACAACGCGGAATGCTTGCAATCTACCACAGGCTCTGTGACATTGCAAAGATGTTGGAACTTTCCATCAACGCCGGTGCTACAATACACTGCGGGTTTGGCAGAGTACTCGTATAGGACGGAGTGTTTCTCGGGTGCACAACTGTATAGGCAGGATAGCCATTGGTGGGTCCATCCATCCTTTTCGACTCTGGCTATGGCGCAGCCCATTCGGTTAGTTGGGCCCACCATCATTCTCAGAAAGTGTCCAATCTCTTTGCTAAAGTGAAAAAAAATAAGTCGCAAGGTCGCTCTAATAGGCCCACAACAAGAATGTACTTATCACTGGACAATCCATCCAATAAACTGGGTGCGGAGACGTGCTTATACTGATCGTACCAAGCATTCAGCTGTGATCTAATTATCCTGAGTGGATTCACATTCGCCTTGAACTTGTTGTAGACCGCATGGTAGCCCGGAGAGGAGAATACTTCCGTAGAAATACAGTGTGTTGTGGGTTTGAGGTCACAGCGTTTCACAAGGAGCTCAGCCAGGTATGCCAGTTCGCGATCCCACTTAATTTGAAGCATGCGTGCTGCATTCGGTAACCTATGGAATTTACTCCCGGCCACAATGTCGCGATATGTGTTGTGATAGTACAAGATGAAATCTTTTATGCTCTGGGATAAAGGAATAATCTTTGCATCCTTTCCACACTTTGACGACCATTTCTGTAATTTAAAATGAAAAACCAGGGAATTAGGGAGTCATTAGGGAGGGTAATAAAGAAAATGCTAGATTTTATACTTCAACGCTCACCCCTTCATTATGGCATCCAATATGAGGAAGTTCCCTGTCTTCTAGGCAGTTACTTAAAGTACAATAGTCTGTTTCTGGGACCAGATTGACTACATCCGCAAAAAATAGCAGCCCGATTGCAACGCAAAAACCACTCCACATCTTGATATTTCCTTTCAAACTAACTGTGTCATCATTCGGTTTTAAAATTAGCCTCGATTATATTATTAGCCTTGGTTCATTATGATCAAGTGTGGCAAAAAACATTATATTTAAATGTTAAATGTTTTTAGGGCATTGAAAAATAGATTTTTTGTCATGTAACGTATATATAATCTTGATCAGCAAAACTATGCAAGTCGATATAGCCGTGGCTGTCTGTCCTTCTTTCCATCAGGGTTGAGATTTTAATACGAACTTCAGGGTAGGCAACCGTACTATTTATTAATAATACATTTAAGTATTTTCCTTAAAAAATTCTATTTTAAAATATAATTTCGAAATAGTTTTTATTATATTGCCTTTAATGATTATAATGTTTCCAAAAACATTAACATGGGATTCATTCTTCACCTTCATCTTCACCTCCACCACCACCACCACTACCACCGACTATGGTACTCCAAGTATTCGTTACCAGACCCCAAGTACCTTTCGCCCAATCCCACCACTGGCAGCAAATGCTACAGATACCACAAAGAGTCCTGGACTTAACTTGTTTGTTCATCATGCCCCTGATAATCGATGCAGTATCGTTACTAATGACTGCTTTGAACAACTCGGAGTGCTTGCAATCTACCACAGGCTCTGAGACATTGCAAAGATGTTGGAACTTTCCATCAACACCGGTGCTACAATACATTGCGGGCTTAGCAGAATATTCATATAGTATGGAGTGTTTCTTGGGTGAACAGCTATACAGGCAGGATAGCCATTGATGGGTCCATTTATCTTTTTTGATTCTGGCTATGGCACAGCCCAATCTACTACTTGGGCCCACCATCATTCTGAGGAAGTGTCCAATCTCTTTGCTGAAACAAAAAAAATAGCAAATAACCAAATTCCAGATGTGCTCTTAATCAATGAATTACTTATCAATGGACAATCCATCTATTAAACTGGGCGCAGAGACGTGCTTATACTGATCGTACCACGCATTCAGCTGGGATCTTATTATTTTAAGTTTACTCGCGTTCGCCTTGAACTTGTTGTAGACCGCATGGTATCCCGGAGAGGAGAATACTTCCGTGGAAATGCAGTGTTTTGTGGGCTGTAGATCGCAGCGTTTCACAAGGAGCTCGGCCAAATATGCCAGATCGCGATCCCACTTCATTTGAAGCATGCGTGCTGCATTCGGTAACCTATGGAATTTGCTGCCGGCCACAATATCCCGATATGTGTTGTGATAGTGTAAGATGAAATTCTGAGTTTTACTGGATAAGGAAACTATCTTTGGCTCCGTTCCACACTGTGACGACCAGTTCTGTAATTGTCAGACATTTCACATACATTAATAAAATGGTATTTTAATTTAGCAAGTCAAATAATTCTTAATATTTTGTTTAATGATAAGGTCGAAAAAATGCTTCTTAAAAAATCCTGCTGTTTTTGAGGCTGCTTTACGTAAATCCCCTCTTAATCTGTGAGTACTACAATTAATTGCTAGTTTCTAGACTCTCACACTTACTCCCTCATTATTGCACCCAATATGTGGTAATTCCTTGTCGGCTGGACAGTTTTTTAAAGTACAATAGTTCGTTTCTGGTACCAGTTTGACAACATCCAGGTTGAAAAAAAGGAACAGTCCGGTTGCAATGTAGAAAGCACTCCACATCTTTATATTCCCTTGTAAACTAACTATTTTCATCTGTATTTGGCATCCAAATTAGTTTCGTTTACGATTTTAGGCTCGGCCCATTATGAGCAAATGTGACAGATACCAGACAAGAAACTAACTTCGGCCAACGAAGTTTATATACCCTTGCAGCTAAAAACTATGTCATTCAATTGTAACCAATAAGTTTATCCAGATCTAGATAGTTTAACTTTGCTAAGTAAATATATATTGAAATTGTATCCAATTTTTAAATAAATATATTTGAAGTACTGTCCCTACAACAAGCCCAATTCTTTGTACTGTATGTACAATGTGTATATGTATCAGGCGCATGATTCATTCAAACATTTAAATCGTTGCCTCTTACTGATTAGCACATGAAAATGTGACGTTAATTGTAAAAAAATAATAAATTTTATATATTTTGATATTTGTGAAGCGGTTTCCAGAAAGCTTTTGATTATTGAATAAGAATACTAAATAAAATATTTTAAAAATAAATATTTTTCCTCTATCTCTTAATTTTGAATATTTAAAAAATGAATCTTTATTTTATTCCATATCATTTCAACAAAATACATTTTTAAGAAAAAAGGCTTTTATTTCAGCCCTGAATGTTTTGAAAAAATAAATAATTTCAGTTAAGGGTGGAACGGAGGGCTGATGAAATAGAAGTGGCTAAAAAATAAGCATAACAACAAAGCCCAAAGAGAGCCAAAGGAGAGAGCGCCATTGTATTGTATTTCTTACCGGCTAAATTAGGGCTGCCAGACCACCGCGTTGAGTGTATAAATATCGGGAGCATATCTGGCCCATGGAGATTTGAAGAAGTCGACTACCCGGTTTCTCTCCCGCTTCACAGAAAGAACAATGGATAGACATGGACGTAGCGCGTTAGGTAAAACCTTAAAATGTATAAAAAATATTTTAATTTTTACTTGATAAAAAAAATTAAGTATTTCTTATTCTTAATACATTTTTGGTTTTCTTAGACTGAATAGAGACTTTTGGTCTCATTTTTTTTAGTTCTTGCAATGTTTGAGGCTGGTCTTTATGATCACATTTCATTGATACTATTTAAACTCAACTTTTTCAACTTTTTAATTATAGTTTTAGCTATTTCCTTTTCTGACTTACAAAATGAACAAATATTTGTCATCTAAAGACGAACTTAATATTGGCAAGTTATGCATTTGAAAAAGTAAACGTAATTTGGAGATCATTTTGTTTAAAATCATTTCTTCCCCCTGAATGACAGATCCAAAATACGGCGAAATTTTATAGGATGCTTTCTGAAAACAATTTTTTTTAAATATCATCTGAGGGTGAGGAGAATCCACGCAGATTCCACTCCACTTTTCAAACCAAACATGCCCCAAATCTTCTGAGACTTATGTGAGAGAGATCTCAAACTACAGGTGTCTTCTTTACCTGTAGTTTGTATTTTATATTAAAGGTACATTTTATTGGAAATGTACAAAAACCCTGGTGACTACGTCTATGGAAACTGGCAGAGAGAGCGGTGGATAGGGAGAGAATGGCAGCTGCAATGTGTTGCGTGGAAATGTGATTTTCTGGCCGACTGTCTAGAGACCAAAACACATGGTTCGTGGCAGAACGGTTATGTGAAGAGCGGAAAGCGGCCGCAAATTGATGAGCGACACAGTATTAATTGAATTTAATCAAATCGATTCGGGTGACAACAATGGAGGAGTTTGCTGAGTACTATGGGTGAGTTTTTAGGCATGTGTGGGGGGCTCAAGAACACGCATGCAACAAGTGTCTAAAATTAGCGTTAACTGCAATCAAACACGATGGCTAATTTTAGCCACGATTTAGCACCCACCTCTCGGCCACACGACGCGAATACCAGCTATCCTATCAGCTGAGCTGCGTATAAACAATGCCAGAATCTCCACGCGTCCATGTCAATGGAAAGCTCAAACAAAGCCAAATTAGTAGTGCCGTAATAAAACAAAACAATTCAGGGGCTTGCAGCACCCCTACTGAAAAATGCTCTATGTATAGGGAGACCAAACTAAAACTTCAGCTGCTGTTTTTAAATTTGCCGCGTAAACAGTTCCAGATAAGCTAAGTGTGATCTTCACGTGACTAATGCACATAAACAATTTTACTTCACTTTATGTCTTGAAAAAAAATAAAATTGATAAAAAAAATTAAAAATAAAATTAATAATATTTTTTCAAATCAAACTTACCAAGAACAAAAACCTTTCTTGTACGATCGTTTTCTCATCTTTAAAAGGTTTCCTTAGATATTACCATAATGTTTGATAATATTATACATATGATAAATTATGCGCTGTCCGAAGAACATTGAGATCAAGACTTATAGTTATAAATTATAAATTTTGTGAGAAAGTTAGGACACTATTTAAAAATCTAAGTCATACTAATGATTATATATTTTTATATAAAGTCCTAATGTAAATCATCATCAGCTTTGTTTACTTAAATTTTTTTACGATTTTTATTTTATTGTTAATTTTAAAGATCCATTTATTTGTAAATGCATTATAAAGTAAAATTTAATAAATGAATTAATTAATAAAATTGTAAATCATTGAATAGCCAAGTTATGCCTGCATTTTTAAGGACCCAACTGCTTAGCTACTCGCCTATTTACTTAACAATAACAAAAAGATTATACTACCTGAACCGCTAATCGAACCCGACAATTCATTAGGGCTTGTGGTAAACTTGGCCCATCGACCTGTCAAGTCATCTGGTAAACCGAGAGTTCCCACTGGAGGTATGCACTCGGGTAAAACTCTCATACTGTAGAACATTCAGGTGGGTCAGAAACGGAGGAGGGATGGGTTACCAATTAGCGTTATCAGCGTCAGAGGCGTGAATCCACCACAATCGTGTCCGACCTGAGGATGCGAAAGCTTCTGTCCGGTTCGAACTCACCACGATCCCCCGGAGCCGTAGAACCGATTCACTATTTAATGGCTCTGGCGTGCTCGACGAACGCTCAGAAATAAGTGGGACGCTTTCCGGCGCCATACGAAACTCGATCAAATTCCAAATTGCGAATTCAAATACCCAAACTCAATTAAGTGGCAACCAGATACTGTATATACTGTCATTATTTACCCATTCGATTATTTGAAACTCGATTCCGCCTTGCAAACCGAAGATGGCTTGTAGCTTGTGATATTATACACCCCAAAATAAAAGACCAAGCGCAGAGTGATATAACAAAGACAAAAACATAAGTGATAGTTTATACAGGAATTCAACTAATTCGTTAAAAAGCAGGTGAGAAGAAATTATCCATTGTTGAAAAAAAGTAAAAAAAAAGTAAAAAGTAAAGTTTTATAAATAGTAGCCTTAAGCTCGGTGTGTGCATCAAAATTCAATTTTACTATTATACCAGTATTGATAATCACTCTAATAACAAATCCATGAATAATAATTAAATAACTAATTCTGAAAACAAGAAAAAGGTATCTAATATTTTAAGATATCATTTTTTGGTGTGAGAAAGAAAGTTATTAGTGTACTTTTTATTAGATCTAATAATAGTTTCCAAGTTTCTGTTTTCCCCACTATAATAGTTTCTTCCTAAGCTAAGCAAATGTTTCAACTTAAGATCGATTTTACCTTTTTAGTATCGGGTAACAAAAAAAAACATTGTTAAGCCCTACTTTAAAGAAATTACATACCCATAGGAATATCGGAGTTCTGTGAGAACTAACACACACTTAATGACTTTGTTTTAGTCGATACACTATACTTCATTTCGGGAGACGTTCGAGGGAGATTTCCCCTCTTAGTCATCGGGGATTATTCCCGATGATCACAAGACTCCAATTTAGATCAGCTTTGACGCGCTGATGGTCGTAAAGCCGTTGTCTACATTCGCACATTAACGGACGCCCACTAATTTTCTTATGGCCCGATCCATAAACCCAACTCCGCACAATTTCTTGGCCCACCTACCACAGGCACTTTCCACAAATTGCGAACGTGTTAATATGTGGGTTCTGTAAACATCGAAAGTACGGCGGGTTACATATAGCACGGGTCAGCAAGAAGCCCTAAAGCCCCAATTGCACACTTACCTATTATAATAATTATTTAATGAACATTTTCCAGAATGCCCAGCTGGAGCGTGACGAATGCGTTTCGCGTGCTCACACGCAAGAAGCCCCTGGAGGACTCCAATGAATCCAAATTGGCTAAGGTTTTGTCCGCTTTCGATCTCACCGCCTTGGGAATCGGATCGACTTTGGGAGTGGGTGTCTACGTCCTTGCTGGAGAAGTTTCCAAACAATATGCGGGTCCAGCGGTGGTCGTCAGCTTCCTCATCGCTGCCATCGCCTCGATCTTCGCCGGACTTTGCTATGCGGAGTTTGGAGCCCGGGTTCCGAAGGCGGGATCGGCGTACATCTACAGCTATGTGACCATTGGCGAGTTTATCGCCTTCCTCATCGGCTGGAATCTCATTCTCGAATACGCAATTGGTAAGCTTTCAATTAGTGGCTCCGCCGTCTGATTGATTTGATTTAATTGCCCAAAAAATCTGATGTACTCATATTTGTATTCGTTAGGCTCCGCCAGTGTCGTCAAGGGTTTAAGCACCTATCTCGATCAGCTCTGCGGCAATCCCATGAGCACTTTCCTGGGCACCCACATGCCCCTCAACATCGATGGGATGGGTGCCTATCCGGATCTGTTCGCCTTCGTGGTCACCATTCTCTTTTCCCTGGCCATTGCTGTGGGAGCCAAAGAGTCCACCAGGGTGAACAACGTCTTTACCATGCTGAATTTAGGAGTGGTGCTCTTCGTGATCATCGCGGGGCTCTTCAAAGGTGAGTTTTTTAATTTAAACGAAGTGGGTTACGATAAAAATTCATTTAGAGGCATAGAAATTACTGATCTTGAAGACTTCTTCCTGCTAAAAGCAAATTACTTTTGTTCTGATATAAAAATATCTTTATAAATCTGTCATTATTTTGTTTTGTTACCGATATTTTCGAACTGTTGGATTAATTTAAAAAATGTATATGTCAAGGGATCAACCATATGGATCACATAAATGTATTATTGTTTACTTATGCAACTTAAAAAATCAAAAATCGTTATTTTACTCACACGTTGAAACATGAAAATAATACTTAATTTCTTCCCATTTATAATCTAACAACATCTTTCGTTCAGTTTCCAGCAGCAACTGGTCCATTCCAAAATCCGAGGTTCCTGAGGGCTATGGCAACGGTGGCTTCATGCCGTACGGAGTTTCGGGCATAATCAAAGGAGCTGCCGTTTGCTTCTACGGCTTCATTGGCTTCGATTGCATTGCCACAGCTGGGGAGGAGGCCAAGAACCCCAAGAAGTCCATTCCATTTGCTGTGATCGTCTCGTTGGCCATGATCTTTTTGGCCTACTTTGGCGTGTCCACGGTGCTGACCATGATGCTGCCCTATTTCGAGCAGGACGAGAAGGCGCCGCTGCCCCATGTCTTTCGTATTAATGGCTGGCATGTGGCCGAATATGTGGTCAGCATTGGAGCGATGTTCGGTCTGTGCTCCAGCATGATGGGAGCCATGTTCCCACTGCCCAGGATCGTATTCGCCATGTCCAATGATGGACTGCTGTTCAAGTTCCTCGGAGATATCAGCGAGAAGTACAAGACTCCCTTTAAGGGTACCATGATCACGGGTCTGCTGACGGGCATTCTGGCAGCCGTTTTCAACCTCAGCCAGCTCGTGAACATGATGTCCATTGGAACCCTGTTGGCCTACTCTATGGTGGCCAGTTGTGTGCTCATGCTGCGCTACGAGGTGGACGATCGTCGGGAGAGTCGCATCGTGGGAAATGGTCGGGCACTCAGCCTCGAACAGGATCGTCCATGTGCCCTTTGGAGGAGGATCTTCAACCTCAATGGTCAGATAGTGCCCACGAAGCAGTCTTCAAGGATCGTCACCTACAGTGTGACTCTGTTCTGTGAGTAAAAAATAAATTAAATAATCCGAGAAATCAATAATCCTAATAAAATCATCTAATTTCCAGCTCTTTGGTGCATGGTCTTCTCACAGATTCTGACCAAGTTCGAGGAGGACTTAGCCAACGTAACGTCCTTTGATGGTATTAAGCTGGTGCTGGGCACCATTCCACTGGTACTGCTTCTCCTAATCATCTCGCGTCAGCCAACCTCGGGAGTCAAGCTGTCGTTCAAGGTGCCCCTGGTACCCTGGCTGCCGGGAATTTCCATTCTGATCAACATCTACCTGATGATCAAGCTGGACATCCTCACCTGGGTACGCTTCAGCATTTGGATCGCCATCGGACTGGCCATCTTTCTATCCTACGGCATCCGTCACAGCCGGCTGAGGCAGCGAGAGCAGCGCAACAACTCCATCGCCATGATGCGCGATTGCAGCAACTCTGCATTGTTGGGCGGCCAGGAGAACTCCAAATATGGCAACGAGGTGCCTCTGATATTGATGCACAGTACATCCTAAGTATAGATTGATATTTAACCACACTACACATTTGTTTTTTGCCTGAAAGATACGCGATTGCACCTGCGATTCTCATCATCCACATACTCACCTATGTAATTTACACAAGCACCTAGCCTCATACCGTAAAATAGGAAACCAAAAACTACGAGAAGTACAATAAGTTAGCTGAAAGCAATAAACACGAATATTCGTATGCCAAACAATGGTTTAATTTACTTAGGTAACTACATTTAGGCAGGCCAATTTATTCACGTGGGATTTTACATTTTATATTTGGAAAATGTTATCGTACTGCACTCACAGTATATAAAATTAATGTAACATAATTGTAGCGATCAATGGTAGTTCTATTCCACATTTGTCATTCGATTTTGATACGTCAATTTGTTGGGAATAAAAATAATTATTAAATTAACTTCTTGACATGTACTTCAAATATTGACTAGTTTTAGCAGCAGACTCTGTTATTTTCATAAAAACGACAGATTTAACAGTAATATTGTTCTCTAAGTATACTTGTACTACACTAATAACAATTGCAATGTTTCCTAGACTTAAATCTCGACTGTGGTAGCATCGGTAGCCTTGCGATCCGAGCTCTCCCGTTCCCGTTCCACTGCCTCTTCCTCCTCAGCCTCCTCGCGTTGCTCCTCGGAGGAGGTCTGCTCTTCGTCCTCGTTCGCGACGATAATAAACTCACTGTCTCCCGTCTTGGCAGTGGTTTTTTCACTAGAGCGCTTCGAATTGGCGCGGGAGTCTAGGGCGGCAGCGTAGAAGGCAGAATTGGCCATGTTGCAAGTGAACTCCTGCTTCCTGGCAGCATTCACTTCACGTGCTATGGTGGACACCGCACTGGGATTAACATTCTGGCTGCTCTTGTACGATCCGCCCTGCGAGTGCCCGAATCCAAGGCTGCTCGTTATGGGCTTAACAGTCGGTCGCTTGCTCTTTGCCAGTGCTCCAGTGACCATGTTGGCAGCAAATCCCGGCGGCGCCTTGAACCCAATGTGCGGGGCATTGCAGGTGTCCATCTGGAATACGTGACGTGTGCGGGTACTACCCATCTGCTTCTCGACGCGCAGAGATTGAGTGGGAACAATGGGCGGGCGACGGGGTACTCGCGGAAGAGACGTCTGGGACATCTGGTACATCTCGGCCAGCTCCCCAGTGGCCGGCTGGCCAGCTCCGCCGCTTGGCTGTTCTCCAAATCCGTACATTCGCTCGTGGCGCTCGTGGACATTGCCGTCAAAGTCCTTGGACATTCGCCTACTGGCCGAGGTCTTGGAAACCTCGGGAGCGGGCAGTAGAGGCGCCACATGCACCGCAGCAGGAATATTGACACTGGTGCCTAGTCCCAGGCGCTGCTTCACATCGTTTAACGTCTGTTGCGCCTGCTGACGCGCCTTTTCCGCGCCTACTTCCAGCAAATAGACCATCTCGTTCCGCCTGGTCATGTGGTGGTGGATTTGTTCCCGGATTGGGCGCAAGTGCTCAACCACAGCCTCCGCCACACGGTCTTTGTACTTGGCCGTGTCCAGGGTGGCGGCCTCGTCTACCACTGTCTTGATGGGCTGCCCCGTGACCTGGGAATGGATATTGACGAGGTTGCTGACTCCGGCTCGCTTGCCAGGATTATAAGTTATGTCCGAGGTGAAGTCTGTGACGGCCTTCTTTATCTTCTGCGTGATTAGGTCGGGCGAATCGCAAAGATTTATGGTGGCCTTGGGATTGGCCTCCGATTTTGACATCTTTTTGGAGGGATCTCGCAGGGACAGCACCCGGGAGGCGTCACCCTCCTCGATGATGGCGTGGCAGACAGGGAAGGTCTCGCCGTAGCGACCGTTGTAGGTTTTGGCCAAGTGCTGAGCCAGCTGAATGTGCTGTACCTGGTCGGCGCCCACAGGAACATGTGTGGCCCTAGTGAAGAAGCGGTTATCAATATGCAAAGTAATTATTTGTTAAAAGATGATTCATTTGGTAACCACATTTTATGTTTTTGTAATTATTGTTTTAAGTCGAAGTCAAATTAAAATTGAAATATTAAATCGATGAAAACACATATATATACATAGGAGAGCTAAATTGGATATGGTTTCTTATGTGAATCAATGTAAATTCGTAACCTTGTGATGTGGTTTACCACAGGGAAGACATCAACTTACTTGTAGAGCATAATGTCGGCTGCTTGTAGAACCGGATATACGTACAGTCCCAGCGGGACGTCTTTGAGCAGTCGGGACTTCTCCCGGAACTGCGGCAGCTGAGCCAAACGCGGCATGGTGGTCATCGAGCTGAGGATCCAGTTGAACTCGGCGTGCTCAGCGACGGCGGACTGGACGAAGAGGGTGCTCTTGCCGGGATCGATGCCGCAGGCGAGCAGCGTGGCGGCCATGGTGAAGA